AACTCATACGAATTTTAGTGGATGAAAGCAGATGAAAGTCTTAAGCTATAAATTTGCAAAAAGGTATAATACTCTTACTAAACTTAATAAAATTAACCAGAAAAGGATAAAAAATTAAAATAGCGTAGAATTTTCATAAATTTTTGACACTTTTTTTTATTGATTCCTCGCTAGTCTTATTTTTTTCGTAGATTGTTACATATCAATGAAAAGATATTGTAAAATGAAACAAAATAAGATATTTATTTATAAATAAAAAATCGGAATTATTGAGAAAAAAGGATTTTTAATATTGAAAATTTCAGATTTGGAGAACTCATGAAAAACTCAATAGAAAATTCCAAAACTTATACGAGTCATTAACATTTATATAACAAATAAGTGTGCAAACTTTGAGAGTTTTTCATAAAGTCTTTGCTGAGAAAAACGAAAAACATTAAAAACTAGCATATATAAAATGCGTTTTTTACCCAAATTGACTATATTACTTGAAAATTTTCCTAAAATTTTCATGTTAACATATTGGAAATTTTAATACCTTTTCAAAACTATGCAACACTTTATATCTTAGATACTTGTGTAAAGAACTATTTAAGAAATACAAAAATTTTAAACGATTTTTAACTCAATTTAACCTCCAAATGGCTTCAATTATGTTAAGTTCTTATTGATTTATGTTTAGGAAAAAACGAGGAGCAAAACTAGACAAAATAGTGAAAAAAATGTTAAAAAGAATGCATTTTATGAAATTCTAAAGTCAAATACTTTATTTTTCAAGTTTTTTTTTGAAAAAAACTATTTTTTTAAAAAACTGATCATGAAACTTGACAAAACTATGACATATTTACACTCAAAAGACGCGTTTTAAAAAGATCTATCAATCTAACTTAAAAAAATTAAATTTTACTTAAAACTGAAATTTTTATGATTATTTTTCTTTTTTGACCTTGCTCGACATACGACTTTCAGAGTCAAAAAAGTGCTCTTTGCCAAGAGAACACTTGTTCATTTTACTGCATTAATTGATAGCATATCCAGAGAGCTTTCTAAATGTGAAATAAAATTCCACTACCATGGGTATCCCTGGAGCACTACAGCGATTTTTGTCAAAAAATTGGTGTTTTTTTTATAAAAAAAATTTTTTTCACTACCAAAACTTTGTTAAAATTATACGACATGTATGCAAAAGTTATAGCTTTTGATGTAATCTTTAATATAAAAAAGAAATTAGTAACTTTGGTTGTGCTTGTGAAGACCTACACAAACGGAAGTATGACGAACACGTGGTTTTTGAGAAAAATCAAGTTTTTCACAAAATTTTCCAAAGTTTTTTGCAATTGTTTATACCTTAAAATGAAGGAACTATTTAAAGCTATTACCAAAAAAAAATTGAAGGAGATTCATCCATCCAGTGACTGGTGAGAGCATTTTCAATGTAACGTGAAAATGGTCGTCTGACCAACTTTGAAGTGCCATATCTCGGACACGCTGTCGACTTGGGCAAAGTTTTAAGAACGTAAATGTAGGGCAGAATAAGGACTATCATATAAGCTGTAGAAATAATTTTTGGAAAAATTTTCCATTTCTGGCCCATAGTGCATCATGGTTAAGTTAGGTAAGCCTTATTGTAGTCTTGGATGCTTTTAAAGGTATATTAAGCCAGACCCAATAAATCTGGGGATTTAGCAATGGTTTTTGGAATCTAGGACTTGGTGCAATAGCATGGAAAGCAAAGTGAGCTTAATCTCGCAAAGCATGTTAGGAAGTGCCAAATTCTACCTCAGGTTCCAAAATTCTATCCTAGCTTCTCGGGCTTTTACTTGTCGCCTTGCTTGAAATGTGTAAAAGTTTTTCGTCTTTTGTTTTTGAAACTTTTCAGACAATAAAGTGCGACTGGCTGGATATGGGTGAGATGACAAAAAGGTCAGAAAAAAATTCTTATCTTTTTGCGAATTTATTAGGTTGCCTCGTGCATGCTGATTAAACTATTCAAGCGTAAAATTATTCTGATTTTGATATAATTCATTGGAATTTGCTCGTATCAATCCCAGATTCTCTATTAATCCGTGAGCATTAATGCAATAATTTTAATTAAAATTCATCGACATATCCAGAAAATCCCACAATTTTGCATTATGAATCCCGCTAAAAATCTCACACTTTTACAAACAATAAAAGCTTTATTCCATAGCTAGTTTTTGAATACCTTCCAAATGCATTCAAACTCACCGCACCCCGTACGTGAGAGCGTTGCACAAAATAAAAGAAGAAAAATGATGATGTGAAAATATTGAAAGAGCATAATGCAGTGTATTTTGCAGCAAATTCCATTATATCAATGCATCTATACACAACATCAACATTCACATAATAATATTATGATCAAAGTATATTAAATGCAAATATGTACATTGATGTGGGTGAAATCAGGGAGGAGGTAGAATGGATTGAATATGAAAATCTATGCAACCATCTCAATTTTCATAAGTGCCTTAACATGTTGTCCTACATGCTCTGATTTTCTTCTCTTACTGCTATGAGCGGAGCGTCGTTCTAGCTGTTGCAAGCTTTCAATTATAATATATGGAATTGCATCAATGAGTTCTTGTTTCTGACAATTCGTATGAACATCATAGCTTAGGGATGAAAAATTGTTTAAAAAGGAGTAGTTTTATTATGCAATTTTTATTATCTTTTAATGCATTTTGATATTATTTATCTATTAATTTTCAAAAGAAATGTGACAGAGCTGTTGGATGTTGATGAAGGTTGTATGGAAATGTAGTCGGCATTTTTCGAGTCCTTGTCATATAAACAACACTTTATATACTGATTAATCGATTAAGAGATCAGTCTCTGGTGGGAATCGAAACCATGTCTTCACAAAAGCGGATTACTGATATTAGGTCTGTTGCTTAGCCAATCACACCATAGAAACTTAGCTTTCTCACTTAGCCTATAATTACTTGATACTCCAAATTCCACTTTACTCAAATATCACAGCTATGAAGAAGCCAGATGAGTCATTTTCTTTTTAAGAAATGACGCTATTGTCCGAACTTTGTTCGTCTGTATGTACTTCTGTCTGTATGTATGTATGTCTGTCTATCTGTACAGCTATCTCCTGATCCAGTTTAAGCTTTTTTGATGCGGTTTTTGGCTTATCTCCTGTATATAAGTTGTGGCGAAATCAGGAGTCGGTTGCTAAGGCTATACATGATATCTTCCCTTGATAACAGCGTAGACCCCCCCCCCCCTGACTTTTGCTACAAATATAGTACTGCCGCAGCAACCAACTCTGCATTGATTTCATCCATTCAATAAACTTTCATATAAGCGTAATGCATTCATGCATTCAACAACGTTTTAGATCCCTTTTCAATCGACTCCACAAACATCACAAACATAAAAAGAAAAGAGAATAAGAGTAAAAAAGCATAAAGGCGTTGCTAAATAGCATCAATAAATGCCATAAGGTGTCTGAAATGTTGCTGAGTTATGCGAAATCATATAAATGTAAAAAAAAAAATATTTTACAATTTCGCATAAATAAAAGAAGGCAATGAGGAGTGAGCATGTATGCGAAATTATGAGTGAAGAGCTATAGAAAGGGAACGGATGAGCATAATGTTGGTTGCAATGAATGTTTAATGTTTACATTTCCGTAATGGGATTTTTTTTTCTTCTGTTTCTCGCTCAAAATAAAAATGTAAAATGAACTCGTTTTTTTTATAAATTTTACATGCATTCAGTCACAAAAGATGTTGGAAGAGTTCAGTGAATTGTCAAAATAATATTTTCGCCTTTTATTTGCATAGCATATGCCTTAAGCCGTAAAAATATTTCAAAGCATACATAAAAACCCAAGCAAATGTCCATAAATGAAAAATTAATGTTTAACTTTCACACTCTCTTTTGTGTATCTTGCAAATCTCGACTCACTGACGCTTTTGCTATCGTATGGAATTTTTTTTAAAGCACAACTGACCCTTTGGTGCTTCGATATTTTTTATTACATTTTTTGTGTGTGTGGACGTTTAAAACCACAGATTTTGGTTTTGTTGGATGTGTGAGGGTGTTATAAATATTTTTATTTTTGGTGTTTAACAAACGCTTTGTAATAAATTGTTTAAGTAAGTTATGTCCATATAGCATTTAATAATCGTAGATTATTCATAACGAGTATGTTTTCAATAGGTAGGAGCGTAACCAGAGATTCTTTCGTGGGACAAGGGAGGATTTATGTTTGAGGATTAAATCAGGCATCTTTTACCCGATCGGCACACATTGAAATTCATTGAAATATTTGTCACTTGGCGATCGGGTTGATAATACAATTAAAACCAATCTGCAGCCGCTTATAAGACATTTCTAAGTGGACGTAAAGTGGTTGACACATGACTGCCATTGCCAAGAGAAGAAAAGCGGCAGTTCTGTGTGCCGATCGGGATACTAAAACATTAAACTTCAAGGAGTCGTTCGTAAATAGTTTACATCAAATTACGAGACTTTTACACCCCCCTATCCCCATCAGTCACAAAACTACACACCCTTACCCTCTTAATGTTGTGCGTCATATATTATTAGCTTGTCATCAACTAATCACGGTGATGTATACTGAATTCGGCCATAGAGTCGACTAGAGCATGCGACTGAAAAGCGTGTGATGTAGATTTGAATCGCATTTATAGTTCCTACGAATAGCACAAGTCGGATAATTCATGTCCTTCATTCTATTTATTAGTCGAGATGTTTTTATCATCAATTTAATATATTCAATAATAATAAGACTCGGGAATGCAAAAGCCACACTAAATTTGTTCAAGATAAATTTATGAGACAAAAAAATTGATGGTTAATTTTCCGGAAAACAATGTTATATAATTTTTATTAGAAATTAAATATAACGCATCCATGTGTTGAATTAGTATAAAATTTTAGACCCTCACTTCCATTCCTCTCACAAAGAACTACCGGTTTCATCAAACTTGTGACTTATTTTACTTGCATACACAAGCTTTTCCCTGAACATTGTTAAAAATAGCACATCCAACGGGAGACTTCACAGCAAGGAAGAATGTTTGCGCCAATCCATTGCATACCAAATCTATTTTAGTGCAAGTCTTTTTCATACAACTTTTAAAAGTTTCATCGCATTTGGATTTGTTACTATTGCATGTTCCATAGCAGATATCGTGACTTTTACAGCACGATTCAAACTTTTTAGGCGCTGGGACGCTGAATCCTTTAGGTCCACAACCGTTTCCTTTTGGAGTGAATTTTGTGTTACGCACGGGTTTTTTGCCTATTTAGAAAACAATTTATTTTATTTAAGTTAATAGAAAGAATTTTTATAAAATTACCTTTTGGACAATTCAAAAGACAATCGAATAGTCCTCGTGCATCTCGGTCTTGTATTTCATCACACAAGCTTAAAACGATCAATGCAAAAAAAATGATTAAAAGTTTCATTTTGATTAAGTTTTTTGTTCTGTTTTTGAAATATTTAATGAGTAAGGATTGAACTCTGTTAAATAACTGATGTATTCTTAGTTTAATTTTTGACTATTTAAAGGTTTAAGGTAATAAAAGCAATGTGCTTACATCCACAAAGTCTTAAGTAGTTATAAATAATAAACCAATAAATATTATAAGTAATGTCAATAAATTTATTCAATTTTACTGTTTTATCTTTGGGGATTTTTTTTTTCGGCAAACAGTTTACAATTTGTCGATTAGCTAATCTTTGATACAAATTAAACCATAAACTAATAAAGAGATAATAATAAAAAAAATTGGCAGCAGCCTTGACAGTAACTACAAAAAGATTGATAACACTTCATTATACCATCCACCATAAAATAATGTCCAATAATAAGCAATTAATATTTCAAAATCAACCACATTGCATTTTATTAACATCAAAAAAAATAATCCTATCCTCAAATTCCAACCACAAAAATCATTTTGATTCACGCAACAGAAATCATATTTATTATTGTTGTCATAGCGAGTAAATAATTGGGTAAACAAATTTTAGAATCAACAGAAAAAAAGTGCACAAAAAAAAATTAAAATGTCATGATGCTGTAAATTTTCTATACAAATTTGCATAAATGTCATAACAGTTTGCCACAAACATGCATGCACACAAACAGAACTGGATGAAGTGAAATGAAAACAACCTCCTTGCCTTGTGAATGTTATATTATGAACTTTTCATTGCTTTTCGGAGCTGGTTGATGTTGCATTATATTGGATATATCATAAAAGTTGGTGATAGGGGGATGGATTGTCATGGATCAGCATTAGGATTTTCTTATATTATGCATTCTTTAAAAAATTTTGCTGCAAAAGTGCGTTCAGAAAAAAAAGTCTGCTTAAAAAGTGTGTTCAGTAATTTTTTTCATCTAACGTGCGTTCAATATTTTGCATCTCACGTGCATTTAGGAAAATTTTCTGCATCTCTATTAGATTCAGCTGACATTCAGTTAAATTTTCAGTGTATATTGGATTCAGGACATGTTTTAACATCTCTTTTGCATTTCTTAATTGCGTCCAGTAAAAGTTTTTGCATCTAAAATGCGTTCAGTAAAATTTTCTGCATCTCTACTGCATTCAGTAAAAATTTTTTAATTTCTATTGCGTTCAATAAATTTTTTGCGTCTTTATTGCGTACATTAAAAGTTTCTGCATCAATAGTGCGTTCATTAAAGTTTTTTGCATCAAAATTGCGTTCAGCAAAACAAGTCCTGCTTCAAAATTACGTTCAGTGACAAAATTATTTATAGCAGCTTTATCTATTCAATTTTCCATCAACTCATCATAAACTATTCCATCCCCCTAAACCGAAGCATTTTCTGATATGCTAAATTATTATTGTAGCTGTTGTTATGTGCTGTTATCAAAAAGGAACCACAACATATATAACATTGGACTATAATAACATGCTTCATGCATTCATTCAGTGTATAGTTTATTTACTACATCTATTTTTGCTTATCTTTTACAATGGTGTACTCAAAATTAATCATTTTATAGCAGCATCAGTGCTTTAATCTTTATCTTTATTCGTAATCTTTATGACAATCGATATTTTATAGACATCATCATGAATGGATGTGCATGTTAGATTTTTTCGATTTTATTTAACTATTTCTTTATAATTCAAAATTGATTTAATCGGGTCCATTGTTAATACAGTTTGACTCGAGTAGCTAAAAAGTATTATATTGATATCAATTTTAGTCATGCATTAATTTAAAAATATTCTGTTTTAAAAATTCGAGTGATTTTGATCTTTGATCCCAGTACTTAGAGCACTGTGTACCGTTTATTTTTTTAAAATATCACGAACAAGGGTGCGGAACTGATCAAAATGATCAAAAATGATTAAAAATTATCAAAAATTATCATAATTAATCAAAATCTAATTTATAAGTTCAACACCCTTAATCACGAACCGATTCGTGAGCTCAAAAAGTTTAGCTCAAAAAGTTTGGACAACACTCACTTAGAGAGACAGTCGCGATTTCGCTGATTACATACGATTTATAGGAGACTGAAAGTGGGGGGATGGAATAGTTTATGATGAGTTGATGGAAAACTGAATAGATAAAGCTGCTTTAAATAATTTTGTCAGTAAACATAATTTTGAAGCAGGATTTTTTTTGCTGGACCAAAATTTGATGCAGAAAACTTTAATAAACTCACTCTTGATGCAAAAAGTTTTACTGAACGTACATTTGATGCAGACATTTTTTCTGAACGCAAATTTCATGCAGAAAACTTTACCGAACGCATTTTAGAAGCCAAAACTTTTACTGAACGCACGTTAGCTTTAAAAAAGTACTGAACGCACATTAGATGCAAGAAATTTCTGAACGCACTTTTGAAGCACAAAATTTTTGAAGAATGCATAACATATGACTTTACTTATGCTGATCCATGACAATCCATCCCTATATCTACACAACGATCAAGGTTTTAAGACACAGCATGGAAAAAAATTAGCTTGTCCTTTTTGAAACATGTGAAATGAAAATGAAACTCAAATTTGATTGCAACGAGGATGCGCCACTCACTTGTTAAACTTTCATAAGCTGTGAATCTCCCTAGTTCAGCTAATTGATCTTAATAGATTCTTTTGAAATTTTTAAAAAAATATCGGGAAATTTTTTCGTGTTGTCAAAATTCTTTTTAATGTAAATTTTAAAAACTTGAAAAATATAAATCATAAAATCAGATGCATCAACAAACTTTTTAGATTCTAATGATAAATTCAAGATTGCAAGTTACAATCTACATAAATTTCCTCAATTAGATCTGTTACTCGACTTACACTATTTTTTACTGCTCCAGAATGGCAAACATTGTTCTAAATCTTCTTGATGAATTTCTTTCAAGCCAACTTCATATATATCCAAACATATTAAATTTTCAAAATAACTTTCCACATTATGCGGCATTAAAGTGTGAATTTTTTTCTTAATGCTAAGGCTCTCAACTTTCGAATTGTGTAGTTTCCTCAAATGCCTTCCAGTAATGCTCTCAACGTCCCGCTCTGACTCATCATCAATGGTTCCTTTTACTAATTTACAATCATAAAAGGTTTCGTCAGCAAATGAAATGTATCGATTGTTATAATCACATTTATAATCAACTGCATTGATGATTGAAATCGTGGTTCCAATTATAAAGAAAAGTATTGAAAATCTGTAAAAAATTTAGGTTTAGAATTTAAAGTTTATTTGATTATATTTTCACTTACTTCATGATTCTTAAAGTATGAATATTCCAACCGGATTAAAAACAAAACTAGGTATGACTGTGGCTTTTAAATGTGACTGAGTTTTATATGATTTTGTTGCTTTATGAAAAGAAAAATGTTCTAAAATTTAAAACTTAATAAGCAAATTTTTCGAGAGTCCGGAGAGCATGCAAATTTTGTACTTTGTATAAGGGGCCGTTCACTTATGACGTCCATCAAAAAACATGATTTTTAGACACCCGTCTCCCCTCCTCCCTCTGTCACCAAACTGTCACAGTTGTCAATACCCCCCACACACACACTTGTGATGTTCAATCATAGACACAAAAAACTTGGATGTCACAAATTTCCTGACCCCCTTCCCTCCCCTGTCACAAATTTTTAGACCCCCCCCCCCTTAATGTTGGACGTCATATGTGAACGACCCCTGATGTAAGGCATTATTTTAGAAAGGACTGAATCAAAGAGACCAGCCTTTTTTACCAGCCTTCAAGTTCGGCAACCTGTAAAATTTGAACATTTGAAATAATTTCGTGCTTTTTAATTTTTTATTCGTTTATTTCATTATTTTTAACTTTAGTGTTATGGACTTCAAAAAATCATTAAAATACAAAGGAACAATAAAATTTTATTTTAATCCTAAGAGCTTTTAAAATCTTAAAAATCCATATTTAAAACTTTCCCTCACAATACGTATCAAATTGAGTTTTGTATGAAGTAAGTTCAGTCACACAATATTCCAAAGCTTGTTCATAACGGAATTCACAGTTTTCGTAAATTGATCTGATCAAATTGCCAATTTGATATTTGCCGTTCTCGGAGCCTGAAGAGCATTCATTGCCATCAAAATTTATGCTTCGAAGATTATTCAGGTTTTTAAAAACAGCTCCAACAGATTTAATTTGATTTCGATACAGCAAAATTACTTCAAGCTTTGGATTGTGCATGAATAAATTTTCTTCAAGATGCCTAAGCTTGTTGTCTGCAAAACTTACGAATTTTAACTTTTTGTATGGCTTTAAATCCCCTTGATGAACTTCTGACAATCCAACTTTATAAATATCAATTGAAACAAGTTCAGAAAAGTAATTTTCTAATCCACGAGGCATATAGATAGTAGTTGCCCTGCTAATCCCAAGACTTGTTATCTGCTGATCATCATATCCACTTAAATGATTTCCAGATACACTTTCAACACATTTCTGTCTTATTGTTTCAATCGATCCACTTGTGACGTCACAGTCATAAAACGTTGCATCTGCAAACCAAACCTTTCGATTGGTAAAACTACATTGATACTTTACAGCTAAAGTTTCAACAGCTAAAGCAGTAAGAGTAAGAAAGATTGCAAATCTAAAACATAACTTAATTATAATCACACTTATGAGATGAATAAAGTGCCTTACTTCATATTTGGCGCTCAAACAATTTTTTCTTGATTTCTTGTGTCTTGATTTGATTGTACTGAAAAAGAATTGAAGTTCGCTGTGGGTTTATATGAAGCTTTCTCTTGAGAGTAATTGCCGCTCTCACTTTAATATTAAGACGAAAGATTAGAATTGTCCAGAGGCGCACCTTAAAATCAAACTAGTTTTATTTTCTATTTATTCAAAAAAAATCATTTTTTTCCAAAGAGCTGAACTGACAAATTGAATATTGATCAAGGTGTGGGAACTATCCCAAATATCCATTTAACGAAAATATCCCAACAATATCCAAAATAATCCTTGAGCCTGTATGCTTTAAAATTGAAAAATCCCATCGAATCCTAAAATTATATGTCCAATAAAGTAAGGATTCGTTGGAATTTCTCAATTTTAAAGCATACAGGCTCAGGGAATATTTTGGATATTTTTAAGGATGTTTGGGATAGTTTGTACGCGTTGACATTATTCATATGATAAGTATCACGCTATTATATTTTTTGAGAAGGGGTCTATCCAAGCTCTTATCTTGGATACGTCACTGGAATTGGTAGAATAAACAAAATTTAAAGCAGAGAGTGAATTCACAGAGTAATTTGAGCAAATTTGAACTTGACTTATCTCATTAATTTTTGGACTAACATGTGTCAGCTAATCTATATTTTTATTTTAAAATGTAGTTAATTTTAAAATAAATGTGTGGTTTTGTTTTAATTGTAGTATGTAGATTCGACGATGTTTTCAATTACTTTCATTATAAATATTGAGCAACATAATCACAATTTTACAGGACCTGATAGAATTCAGAAATATTTCCATAGTTTTTAACTTAGCATTTTGAATATTCACCACAAAAAAGTATTATTTTCATTCCTCATAAATTGCGAATCTATTAAAGTTAATGAAATGTAAAATATTTTCAAAAGATAAAGTCTGCAAATTTTTCGGATAAATTTTCTATTCTTTTCTATTTTATCAATATATTAAATTTGATTGTACTTTCACATCATCAATTTTATAGGAACATTGAAAATATCTTCATTTTGCCTTTATGCTTCGATTTTATGTATCTTGTGATTTCAGTTTACCAAGTTTTGATGAAATAATAATATGCAAATATAGCACATTGAATATTGAATTTTGTGATACAAACCAATAATTATCAATCTTATTTAAATTAGGATTCATCAATCTTATTCCATTGTTTATCATGAGGCTGAATTTTGAGATATTGACAGAGAATTTTGAGTTGAATTAATTAAACCCTTGGGGATAATTTTTGTGGAATTGGAAGTTATAAGGTGAGCGGACGGACATCCGTTATGAATAGAAATTTTTTGAACTTTATTGTGCTTTAGTACACCACAATAAGCATTTTATCGAATCTTGTTAATTATAACAAAACAAGCAAATTCCATCCACAATTACTACATCATTCCTCCCCCCCCCCCCCCCTCCTCAAAATTTGATTTTCAAACATTTTCGAAGATTTACAATCATAAAATTCAATACTTCGAACATCTCCACAATATCAATACACATTTAAACTTACCACAAAGATACTCGAAAGTCAATAACAAGTGTCTAGCTAAATACATTAGAACCTGATACGAACAATTCGATGGTTTCGACCGTTACAGTTTCCAAGAAAACTTGTGAAAATGTCTTATTTGTCTGTCTGCCATACAAAATTCGAAGTTTCATACCCTGCAGTTCGAAATTTTCGAAAATTATGAAAAAATTAAAACCTAAATTAAGAAAGATTTATTCAAAATTTAGATGAAAATATTATGTAGTCATTTAATGATAAGCATAATATAGATAAATCTTTTTCAAAACGATCAAAAACTCCAATGAAATCAACAAAATTGTAACGGTTTTTTTCAAATTTAAACTTTTCGAACGTGCATATTATAACTCCCCTAGACTTTCGATAAGTCTGTCGAACATGAATTGTTCGTATCAGATCAGAACATTTTCAAAATAATCCCATCTGCGAGAATTACATCTTCCATAATTGAACAAACTTAATTGATTTTCATATCCAATTAAAATTTCTCAATCATGAAAATTTTCCATCTAGCCACATTTGGGTCCATCCAATACTTTTTTTTGATTGGTAAAATTTTCCAAAAAAAAAGCTCTTTGTGCTCGCCAAAAAGTAGGAATTTTAATTATAAATCCTTTTCAATCTCGATGAGCTATTAAGATTAAAGCATCAAAAAATGTTCTCGTAACATAAAGGCAATCAACCAGCGTATCCAATAAAAGCATTCATGTCACACAAATTACACCATCACAAACAATGACGTCTCTTAATTGGCATTTTCTGATTCGAAGGGTCAAAATGGCAGAGATATAAGCTTCACAGTGCCCGAGCTGTAATGGCTGTTGATATGAAGTTCTGATGCTGTGTGTCTTTATGACAAAACGACTAATGTTTCATGACACTTGTTCCTTGTCGCGTGATATAGGTTACATGTCACATGACACAAGTTACATGTCACACGACACAGATCACATGGCACATTACACAGTTTACATGTCACATGACTTAATGTACATGCCACATTACATGTCGTATGTTACATGCCATATGTCATATGATACATAACACAAAACACATGACACTATATGATGGACGTTGAGGTTCCATAGCAACGGTATCCATCCGCTTTATACACTGCACCTCATTCTAGAAATTCAGCAGTCATAGCTCCTCGGGTTACACAGCGTATGACACAAAAAAGATGTTGTTTTATTGTGTCGCTTCATGACATAACTCTACTGGGAGAATTTAACGCACTTTTATGAACTCGTTGGATGGATGATAAAAAAATTCATTTACTATTTTTTCACTCTTTTTTCGTTTTCGCATCTCTATGGGGTTGAGCTGAATAAATTTTTGCTGTAGTTGTGAAATTTTGCTGACCAAATGAAATAAAAAAAAAATGTGTAACCATAAAAACCATAAACATGTACATTGTACTGCAATTCAATTGTAATTGTGAAAATTTTCTCGATTAAAAATTTTATTTCATGCTATTTTGATGTTTTTGAGCTGTTGTGGATTGCTTTTTGAAAAATCGAATTTTTTGAGTGCGTATTTTGTGAGTTTTTAAATGAAATTTGTCAAAAATTTAAGTCAGTGACCCTTACCGTTGTGCAACTAGCCACTCTTAGACACTCCTAAAGATTCTCAGTCATCACTAGATCTCTCTTGTCACCTGTTGTAACCCCTAGCTAATCCTAAATGCCTATTAAACCTTAGCTTAACTCAATCGAGAATATAGTCACTGTGACCCCTCTCCTCCCCTCTTTTATACACTCCAAAGAGTTATTTTAACATTTTTTTACACAAAACTTCAATTTCCATTTTAACACCATTAAATAAATCTTCAAGAATAATAATCCAAACTATCTTTCTCTTTCTTCTAAAAGCTGTTAAAAAAATTCTTTATTCCAGCAAAACCTAAATCAAGCATAAATTTTTCATTTTCATGAAGAGCAAAAAAAACTTCACTTTTCCTTTCCATTTTTATTATTTCATTCGACTCCACACGATAAAGAACGTAAAACTTTCATTTCTCCTTTTTTTCATTGCCTTGGAACCTTACGACGCACGAATTTCAGATAATAAATCACATTGAAGTGTGAGGAAAAGGAAAGAAAAAGTTTTTAAAGTGCAAGTTTCTCATGGAATAATTTTTTTTGCATGAATAGCGCGATTTTCTGGGAGTTGTTGAGGATTTATGGTGGTCAGAGGTTAAGTTCCTATATGAATTAATTTTAACTGTGTCCGAAGACTCGTCTAGAAGTAGCTAGTTTAGTGGGCTTACTTAAATCCTACTTTAGGTCATTTACTTTCATATGCACTAGCTATAATATAGGCAAGGGGACAACAACATTGTGGGAAAACGTTTTGATAAATATTTCTCACACTTTGGGATGTTTTTATAATTTCTTGCAAAATTTGGATGGGAATTGGTAAGATACTTCTTCTTTTAGTAGGAAACTGTACTGAAATTTCTGACCAAAAGTTGTTTCCCATCATGTTGTTTTCCCCTTGAATCTTGATATGCCCCAGCTTTTGTTTGTGACCAGTCCTCTACAATATGATTCAGAAACCGTTCACAAAAGATCTTAGTAAGGTTTTAAGTAAGCTCATCAATCCTTATCTTCCAAAATCTCTCCTTAAATCTTGCATCTCCCCGTTCCAAAATCTTTACAACTCGCTAATTGAATCCCAAATAATCGGTCCCAATAAAGTCATCACCTCAAATCTAGATATCAACTTTATCACCCCATCCTGATTTTTTTTAAACAGCCATAAAGTTGTCTAGATTATAAATTTTTTCCTCTACTCACTTCACGACTACCATAAAATTCTCGAGTAATTTTCACTTATTTCTTTTCATAGAGAAAAATTTCCCTTTTTTTAACTGAAAACACTCCCAACAGAGAGCTGAGTATTTATTTCATTTTTATGAACATTTTAAAGTTTATGAATCATTCTGGATTATTGCAGCCAAGAGCTTGGCGTTACTTTAGGAATATTATGAGAAATAATAGAGCTTTACCACTGATTTATCATACTATGAAATATTTGGCTTCTTGAGTTTTGCAAGTTTTGAGGATTTTGAGTTTTGTATGCAGTTTTGACTTATTGTATGGCTGGTTCCTTTTAGCACAAAGGATGCATCAAATGGTAAAAGAAGCTTATATGTTGAGTGCATATTTGATATTAATTTGGAATTTTTTTATTGAACCATTTACATTTTTATAATGTCCTGAGCATTGTGCTAATTCTTGTCATTGAAAAAGCTCGAGAATCTGTCATTTAAGGCTTCAAACTAGCACTCAAAGCTCGGTCATTTGTTGCTCTTAGCTCTAGCATGTAGACCTAAGTGGGAGTGCTAAAGTCTAAATTTTTAACAACTTCAATAAGTGAGTCAAAGCTAGGAAGTTCTCAAATTATATTGATATGCCTCATCAAAATAACTGAGAGTGTAAGAGACAACCTAATGAGCCAAGGGCTCAGAACAAAACAAGCAAATTTTAATTACCAATTTATACACATCCTTGCATTGAGCTTGTTCAAGCTTTTAAATGAGTTATTTGAAATAACTTATTTCATAGGAATCAAACCCAAATCTTTGAATAAAAGATTCCAGAATTTCAGTCTTTAGCTTAACCTCTAGACCACAGTGGCCTTACTTTCGCACTTACAGATTCCCTTACATATGCTTAATATTCCACTTCAATCGGACACCATTTTATTAAACTCTCCACATCCTAGCATGTTAAGCATTGATACCCCTCATTCCAACATGCTCAACATGTACCCCTGCCACATCAAATAAACTTCCAACTCGTTCACTTTTCATCATTACTCATAACGCTCATGAACTAAGATGACTACATACCCAATGAAATTGAGAGTAAGCCGTGAACGAAGACATCATGAAGCAACACTCATAAAATGAAATGAAATTTTTTTTTCCGTCTGGTAAGTTTAAAAAATGAGAAATTTTGCATGATTTTTCATTCATTTCATGAGAATATAATACGGCAATAATAATGGCAAGGATGAAGTAAGTACGTAAGAAGTAACAAAAGTAATTTCCATAAAATTCAAATAAATAAAAATAAACGACTTCTATATGGCATTTCACTTTTGTAAGATTTGTCATTTGAAATTGATTTTTTTTCTTCTTATTCTCCTTAATTCCACATCTTGTTCATAAAGCAATTCTTCTTCCTCGTCTTGAGTCATGCATGAAAAATTTTAATGATGATTTTTTTTTCGAGAGTAATTGCTTTGAAGTAAGTCTTCTTTTTATGATTTTAAATAGATTAAAGCTGCTTTTTGGAAATGAAGAATTTTCTGGAAGTTTATAGGAGCTTTAAAATCGAAGTTATTATATTTGAAATACATGAAGTCATTAAATTTTGTGTCTTAATGACGAAGTATTCGAGCATGTACATGTGTTACTTATAAAGGATTACATTGACCATCATACTTATAAATTGTATTGACAATTTCTATACATTATGTTCAATTTATTTTTAAAGAGCTTTTAATCTTCCTTAGAATTGGAGTAGAGTGATTGGTCATAATCATAAATGAAACTTGAGTTCATGAGTATTCCTGAGTTGTCATGAAACATTCTAGAAGTAAAAATGGTTGAAATAAAAGCTTTATTGCATCTTATATTGAGCAATCTATAGGATAAAGCACTAGTGTGCTCTAATATGCTGCTAGCTTGTTTATTTTAAGCAGTCCAAGTACTCAGTTTACTTTGGTAGCACTGCTAACAAGACAATGTCCAAAAATGGACGCAGGGCATGCTCCAAGAAGGTCTGAACCCTCAAAGATTGAAATTATCACTTGCAAATCATTTTAAAAGCCCAGGATCAATAGTTTTGAGAATTTCCATGCTAATGCTCCATATAGTCACTTACCTGATTCTTTTAAGGACTCAGCATTCATCCCTTCCTTTTAAACTGCTTGGTAACATCCAAACCACCTCTAAAATGGATAATAATTTTTTCCTAATCAATTTACACACACATTCATTGATTATGCATGAATCTTCAAATGGATAAATTGTACCATTCATGATTATTCATGCATTACTAAAATACCCAAAATCGAAACTAAAATGCAGTACATAAATTCATTAATGTTTCAAATGTGAAGCACTCTAATGCTTCGATACGATAGCGTCAATTATTGAATTGAAGAGCTTTATGTTCTGCAAAGTGCATTTCATGTTTGCAATCCTGACTATACTCGGGTCTATAAAATCATGACATGAAATTGAAATTGTACGAAAGATGCTGAATAATCAATCTCTTAATACTATACTCCATGTACAGCATGCAAAAGTAATTTATCATCAATTAGAGATTGTCCTCTTTTTTTGGTGAATTTGTGGAATTAGAACATGGAAATAATTGGAAATTCTTTGAGGTTAGACTTGGCCTAAATGCAGGAAATTTGATTTGAAGTCATAGCATTGTAAATTTTAGGAAGCTTTACTTTATTGCTTCAATATTAACTTTGCTTTGGTAATTCGAGTAAAATTTGTGATATACTCCTGAGAAACGTCTATGGACATACCTTGGCGGTCATATATCCGCTATATCAGTACTAGATATGCTATGCTTAAAAATATAAGAAATATCAGTTGGATATATGGATTGAGTCTTGGATATATCTGGGTTGTGTCTTGGATACGTCTGAGTTGTGTCTTGGATAATTCTTGGCTATGTCTGAGTTGAATTACCAAACGTGCAAATCTCAGTTGACACCTTAGGGCCAGCAACTTATACCGTTAGTGGTGGGAAATGGCTTATTTTTAGACCACAGCATTTAACCACCAAATTGGTTCCCCATAGCCATCATTATAATACCATCAATTAGAACGCACAATTTTCCACTCATACAACCTTCAAAAAGCATATCCATTCAACCAGATTTGTTCCTCTATGAATGCAGTACAAGAAATTACATCCATGCATCATCATCTCCATCATCATTGGAAAACAATTTCCTAAAATTTGCTACACACATTCACTAATTAATGATATTTTGGCAACACATGCTGATGTAATCATTTTCTTTCGACTAATCCCTAAACATAATTAGAATAGAGGATGAGAGGCGACATTGGATTATGATAATGCCTGTGAAGTTTCTAAGAACAAAAACAAGCAAATTTGCATCAAATTAAAATTTGAAAATTTCACAACAAATTAGATATCATCTTTCATGCAGCCAATTGTGACACATAATGTGGTGTAAGAATGTCTAGTGTTAGCAAAAATACACAAGAGATGAGAATGTTGTGACATTGATAAATGACGGTGTTGACACAAAGCGATGATTATTGTAAACATGATGAAAGTGATTTTGCCATTTTTGTTCAACTCACTCTAAGCTATTTTGCTGCTTGTACTGATGGTGTGTCTTTTCCCATCTCAATTTACAATTGTTGTGTACTGCAGAGTTGAATTTGGAACATTTGAGAATATTGGATGGGATTTTACTTAAATTTTGGATTTTGTTGTTCAGTTTTAGGTCTTGTTGCTCATTTTCAATTTTGTTGCTTAGTTTTGGATCTTATTCCTCAGTTTTATATCTTGTTGCTCAGTTTGGATCTTGTGTTTCTGTTTTGGATCTTATTACTCAATTTTGAGTCTTGTTGCTCATGTTTGAGTCTTGTTGTTCTGCTTTGGATATTATTACTCAGTCATGGATCCTGTTGCTCAGTTTTGGATTTTATTACTCCGTTTTGAGTCTTGTTGCTCATTTTTGGATCTTATTACTCAGTTTTAGATCTTGTTGCTCAGTTTGGATCTTGTGGTTCTGTTTTGGATCTTATTACTCAATTTTGAGTCTTGTTGCTCATGTTTGAGTCTTGTTGTTCTGCTTTGGATGTTATTACTCAGTCATGGATCCTGTTGCCCAATTTTGGATCTTATTCCTACGTTTTGAGTCTTGTTGCTCATTTTTGGATATTATCCCTACGTTTTGAGTCTTGTTGCTCATATTTGAAACTTATTACTCGGTTTTAGATTTTGTTGCTCAGTTTTGGGTATTATTGCTCAGTTTTGAGTCTTGTTTTTCTGCTTTGGATATTGTTGCTCCGTCATGGATCCTGTTGCTCAGTTTTGGATTTTATTATTCTGTTTTGAGTCTTGTTGCTCATTTTTGGATCTTATTACTCAGTTTTAGAACTTGTTGCTCAGTTTCGGGTCTTGCTGCTCAGTTTTGGATTTTATTGTTCAGTTTTGGATCTTGTTGCTCATTTTTGGATCTTGTTGCGTAGTTTTGGATATTATCGCTCAGTTTTGAGTTTTGTTGGTCAACTAATAGCTTTGTTGCTCAGTTTTGAAAATTGCAGTATAGTTCAGACACCAACCCTGCTTCCATTCAACTACATTATGATGTATCCCCCAAAAAATCTCTTCGCTTCAAATTCAAAACAATAAGCTATGGATTCAATTTACATCAACAATGAAACATGATATAATGATGTCCTCGAGAATATTTTTTGAATATTAATGAGTGTTTGCAGAGGATGCCTTTGGTCTTTTTGTTTTGTTCACTCATCTCTTCATTCTATGCTATGGTACATTATTGCCTTCATAGACTCATGGTGTGGACAGTTTGTTTTGTTTTAAATTTTACTTTTTTGACGCATTGATTTTTTGGAGGGAAATTGGAAAGTTTTGATTATTTCTTTTGATTTTAATCCTAAAGTTTGGAGCATGCTGTAAAATTTTGTAAAATTATTTAAGCACTTCAGCTTTCATGTGAAGGACACCTCATACAGTTCCCTTCTATAGCCCGAATCATGCCACTCGCACACAATCATCTTGATGAAGAACGGAAATGAAGGATATCTACACAAAAATAAGGATTTTTTTTAATTAAAACAATGATCTGGGTCATTTTCATTGTCAGTAACTTTTTTTTATTGAATTTTTCTTCCCTATCCGTTTCCACTCATACTCTGACGCTTACACACGTATATACAGAGCTTTTGGTGATACAAATATACAAAATTATTTTTTCATTCAGTTCAATTTAAAATTTTGTTCTGCTTTATTTCGGTAGATGTGAAAAAATCTTAATTAACATTTTTTATGTATGTAGCTCAGATTACTGTGCACTCGGGTTAATGAAAAAATATATAAATTTAAATTATTATTTTTGTCTGTAACGCAGTTGCGAATCTGAGCTTTTTGGACTGTGCAATTTAAGTTACTGGAGTGGTAAATTATAGAGTTATGAAGAGTTACCGAAACTGATACTGGTTTTAAGGAAGGCTGTGGAATTTCAGCATGTTGTATCGACCAGATGCATACGAAGTATCCAAAACATTTCTACAGTGCATTGCAGTCAGAAATCAATATAATCAGCCAAAAATCTTGCGAGTTCAAATACATACAACCTTAAAAACAGCTGATTTTTATGTTATCAATATTTTGATGACTTCTTCTTTTTTTTCTATTGACAAAGTCTCAATAAACATAGTGCAACAAAATTAATAAGCACGACACTAATAGTAATACTTTACGATAGATACCGTTACACATAATAATTTCCGTGATGTAGTAAACATATCAGTTTATTTTAATCTACTAATGACCTATTATTATCAAGCAATATGATTTGTATTTCAGAATTTTTTAAATGTATGCGATTTGAGTGTATTTTAGCTACTCACATTCACACTATTGAAACTTCATACAGACGATAATCAGGGCTTGAAAATTAAGCGACTTTCTAATCCACTTATGATCTACTAATGACGTCTAGCTCATAGGCAGGAGTGGAGTAAGAGGGGGTGTGGAATGATGATGATGGGTTCCTATTGCTCCACTATGAAGCGTAGGGCGTCCACAAAGCATTTGAATCGCACTCGATTCTGGGCCAAAGCTGCTATTTCCTGCAGTGGTGTGGAATGACCTGGTAAAAAAAAGGAATAGTAAAGATTCCTCTTACTTATAAGTTGTTAAGTTCTGCAAGATTATCATATACTTGACTAGTTTAAATTGACTGTAGAGAATGAATAGAATGAAATCTGGACTATCAAGCTTAAGACTCTGAACAATTTTGATCATTTTGATCAGTTCCGCACCTCTGATTGAGTCACATATAGGCAATTCTGTCAATTTGATTTTGGAGTCCCTGTGGATGAGTACACAAAATACACAAAATTTTTGTAACCCTCTTTCATGGATTTAAGTTCGTTTCCTAGTGACTAGTGGCAATCATTACATAAAGTGTAGCCGATACGACGATTCGAACAATGTTCACAGCATCACTCTTGCATAGCAAACTTTAATGTCAATTTTACTTCTGACCAACTCTGCCAAGACCGCTTATATTAACCTATGAAAAGTCAAATAAGTAAGCAAGTAAGTAAGTGTATGAATAGTAAATCCAATCAACACACACGCAAAACCACAAGTACTCTCAAGTTAAGTACCAATATTTGACATGCATGCTTACTACTTTAATACTCAAACAAAAACAGAACTGTGATAACTGTAAATACAATAAATTCACTAGATTTAAAACTTGATTAGTAAGATAAAGTCGCAGTCTGTAGATTCTGTGCCAACTGTTTCTACGTTTGTTTACTTTTTTGTGTCATTTTAATTGGCTTGATAATGAAATTCGTTTATGATTTAAATGTGATTCTGTTACGGTAATCAGCTGTGAGTTGCACTACGTAAAAAAAATCCGCAGTATTCGCGTAGACAGTGTAGAATGTGGAATCAAGTGCTTCTGACAATATTTGGTAAAAAAAAATCTATTCAGTCTAAATCACACAAATATAACATTTACAACTTCCAGCAAATATTGGAACATTTTATTTTGGTGTTGGTGCAGCATGGTCGTCGCCGAGCGGTCCACAAATTACAGAAAATGAAAATTATTTCTTTTGGGTGACAAAAAATCAGTTTGGATTGATTGTTGCATTTATGCCATTGGGTTCAATGATGTCATGTGTGTTTTCTGGCATTTTTAGACATAAATATGGAACAAAGCTGACAATGCAATTGTTTTCGGTGCCTGCTGTGCTGGGATCAGCTTGTATTACGTTGCCATGGAATATTTATATGGTGAGGATTTTTATAATAAGCGAATATTGTGTATGGAGGGAGTAAGTGATGAAAGTACGACTCTAGTCAGTGCTATGGTTGAAATCAGCTACTTGACCCACTTTCTTGGGTCTAAAAGTTAAGAAATGAGTTTTAAGGCTTTCTATTTTCAAGCTTCTTCTAGGCAGATTTCTGATCGGAATCACCATCGGCTGCTACATGTTCCTAGTTCAAATTTATGTCGGTGAAATCTCCACCAAACAGATACGAGCAAGTCTCTTAAACTTCATCCACATTTTCGTCTTCTTAGGTGTATTATTCTCATACGTGCTGGGACAGCTCGTAAGTTTGAGAAATTTAAACATCATATGCGGTGCTATTCCACTCTTCTACTTGATTGGATTTCAAGCAATGCCTGAAACGGTGCCATATTTGTTGAGTAAAAGGAAAGTTAAAGATGCTGAGATGTCGATGAACTTTATGTACAAAAAAGTCGCACACCAAGCGGAATTCAAAGAGTTGTTGACAAAACCTGACAAAAAGAATCAGCAAAAGCAATCAATGGCTGATCTGCTAAAGATTAAATCTACTAGACGTGCAACAATAATCATGGTGATGCAATTTTTCTTCTTTCAAATGTGCGGAACAAATGCTGTAAATTTCTACTCAAAAACAATCTTCATTGATTCGGGAATCGATATTGATCCTGGAAATGCATCAATAATAAATGTCTCCATACTTGTCATAAGCTCATTTATATCAGTCTTTTATGCTAGACAGTTCGGACGTCGAGTAATGCTGATAACATTCAACATACTCAGTGTAATCAGCTTATGTGGACTCGGATTGTACTTTACGATGAAGAATAGTGGATGGACTGTTGAGACAATTGGATGGATGCCACTCATTTGTCTGTGCATGAATTCTGTAGCATTTTGTCTTGGAATGGCTCCAGTAAGGAAATTGAACTAATTTTATGATTCATTTAACAATTTGTTATTTCATCTATTTTCAGGTAACTTATGGCTTGCTCGGTGAACTTTTTACAATTGAGGCAAAACAAGTCATCGCACCTTTTGCACAGACATTAAATCATGGATTGACATTCCTAATTGGACTCTCTTTTCCATTCTTTTCGAGCATTATTGGAACTGGAAATGTTTTTCTCATTTTTGCTGCAACAATTTTTATTGATATTATTTTTGCTTATAATTTTATACCTGAAACTCAGGGAAAATCCTTTGAGGAAATACAAAAAGCTTTGGATGCTTGAAAAAATATTTATTTTATTAAAAATTCCATCATTTAATATGAAAAAAATAGTTGTAATCTCAAATTCAAATGATCAAAGAACTGATATTTGCAACTATGTTGTCTTAATTGATACTGCTTGCTGCTGTAGTGATGATATTTTGTTTGTTATATTAGCTCTCATTTAACAGCTGCATAGTTTTATAATACAACTTTTATGAAATCACTGAAAAAGTATTTTAAAAGTTTATGGAATTTTTATTGTCACAGCAAAGAGATGCAGCTAGGGTTCTGAGCAAATGAATGGTTTATTGTAATTTCGGGCTTCTTAATTTCAACGCCACGGGTAAGTATCTCTTTTGTTAACTAGCATGTCACATGTCATAACCAACATGTCACATGTCACAGACCACATGTTACATGTCACAGTAATCCTAAGACGTAGCAATAGGGGGACTTCGATTGACTTCGTTTTAGCCAAGACATGGACACTGTCAATTCGCTCCCCTGAATTAAGTTTGTTCCTTTTAGTTTAGCAGGAGTTCTTGTTAGAGAATCCAAATCACAGAATTCGAGCTTCGAAAACGGAGTTTTACGAGCGCTTAGAAGCTTATTTTGTGAAACTTTGAAACAAATGTTGCATTGGAACAAACTTCAAAACACACTCCTCAAGGGCGTCGCCAGAAGGTGTCCATAAATGCACCCCTGCAAAATATTGGATACGCTCCTGTCACTCCTCTCCCCCCTCAAATATTTGTAGAGGCAATTAGAGGAATAAATTTACTAAGAACGAGGAGAAAGTAAGATTCATTTCTAATTCATCCCTTGATACACTCTTACACCTGTTAAATTGTATCATTCAGCAATTCATCCTCCAACTATGCATGTTTTTTTCAGTTGCTCTGCATCAACACTAATTCGAAAGCTTTTAAATAATGATTTTGCAAATTTTTTCATCTGAAAGGCAAAAACATTTTTACGAACCGGTTTTATAGTGAGCTATAAAAATTTGTGACCTACCAGTTTCAGCATTTAAGCATCGGCTTCGAGTATTCTCGAGAAAAAATTTTATTGTATGGTAAAAAATTTAAATTGAGATAAGCAAATTACATCGGATGGGTCAGCTTTGGGGTAGATGTAAAATAATTTTTTGCAGGTGTAGAATTTTTTTGCAAAATCATCCAAGAAATTTGAGCGGCTGAAACATAAAAAGTCATTTCAAAATTCACCCTCAATATTTAATTCCATTTCGCTTCGTTCCAATTCCACATTTATTGCTGCATCCACATACCAACGATGTCATAAATTTGAAATAACGAAACCTTAACATTACAATAATAATAATTTACGAGGCAGTGATTTTGATTAATTTTAATACATTTCTCATCCTCAAAATTGTAACAATCTTTATTATTTTTTTACATATTATTTATTTCTCTCATTTTCAAACTCATTCATGAAAAATTTCCAAAGTTAATTTTCATTTTTTTTATATATTGAAAAAAATTTTATTTTACTTTATCACAATAATAAATCATTCTACATTTTTTATTCAGTTCTGCATCGTTTTTATGTAATAAAATTTTTTCATCTTAAAGAATTTTTCTTTTTTGATTTTTTGATGGAGTTGTGAAGAGTAGAAAAAAGTTAATTCGTATCGATTTTTTGATTTTTAAGTTTGATGAAAAGTTTTAACGGATTTGATTTTTTTTTCTAATATTTATTTAAAATTTTCAATAGAATTCATGATTTTTTTGTTTAATTTAATAGAATTCAATAAAATTCAAGAGTGGAAGAACAAATTAACGGCTAAATGAAATTTAAATTTTCCCGCCATTTTTAAAAGTTAATGTTACAAAAATTTGAATTATAAAAGTTGATGAATTTATGGTTTTTAAGTCTTAATATCTTGAAATTATGATAAAAATAGCTTTGCTCATTAAAAATCTACAACTTTACATAAATAATGTTCAATAAAATTTCAAAATAAACTGAATTTTTGAGACTAAAACCTCCAGGTGACAATTTTTCCACCAAAATATAAAATTCATGAAAACTCAATATTCTGACTAGATTTTGCATTTGAATTCCAGCTCCAACCATTAAAATCAAGCCATTCTATAACTTTACTAAAGCTTACCTCCAATTTTGAAGGAAATTTTAAATAATCGTCAATTTCAACTTTAAATCATTATAAAAACCCTTTGAATTATTCGAAAAAAGAATTTTTCTTTCAAAAAAATCTCACACTGGCTCAATTTCTCTCAAAAAAGATTCCCGCCTATCTCAATCATTCCGCAAACATTCATCATCTCTTTGAAGCAACGATTCAGTTTACATTTTAATTTATTTGCATGTACCAGATCAATTGATAAAAAAATTTGAAATAAGAAAAAAACGCAATTTTCCGGTGAACAGAAGAAGAATTTCATGCCGTGTTCCATGGCAACATTTTCATTATATCTTTTTTTCCTCTTTTTCTCCTCTTTGAGATTCCATTTTCGTGTTCTTTGCTTTTGTACGATGTCAGATATTTATTTATTATTCGTAATGTAAGTGAGATTGAACTCAAAAAAAAATAATGTTTTTACTGCCGCTTGTCGTGTTTGCTATAAGACGGTAAATTTCCTTAAATTATTTCATACATGAATTGTGTACTCGTTACGCTCTTGCTCCTTCTTCTCATGATACCTATTAAAAGTACAACAAAGCAGAAAAATAAATATTGAGAATTTTTTTTTTATTTCCTTCTTGTGCTTCAATTTACATTATGTATATAATGTGAGAGGAAGAAATTAGATGATTTTTATTTGAACTGGTGAATAAAGCGCATTAATAGCTTAATATTTTTTTTTAAATATTAAAAAAACATTTAGACTTTATCATTATATTTGTAAAGTTGAACCCATCTTGAAACTTAGAGTTGAGTACCTTTTGAGCCTTATTGTTTGAAACCCTTGATGCTTATAGTTGAATACTCCTTGATACTCATAGTTGAATACCCCTTGACACACATAGTTGAATACCCCTCAAAACTCATAGTTTAATACCCTTCGTGACTCATAGTTTAATCAACTTGAGCCACATGGCTGGATAATCTTTAGACACATAGTTGAATACCCTTTGAGACACACAGTTAAATGCCCTTCATGACTTATAGTTTAATATCTTTCGTGACTCTTAGTTTGATCCCTTTGAGCCACATGTTTGGATTCACTATATATACATAGCTGATTACCCCTTGATTCTTTTAGTTAAACACCCCTTTATATTAATTGTTGAATACCCCTTAAACTTTTAAGCTGGATACCCCTTGAGATCGAATTTACCAACAGATCCAAATCTCCTCTAAACACATTCATTTTTACATAAAAATACAGCTAAACCTTCTCAGCGGAGAGAATAACGAGAAATTTATTCCGAATACTAAACGTTTCAGTGAAGAAGAAAAACTCATTTTCCAGGTTATTAGATTTTAATATTGAATATTGAGAGGAAAATTTTCTTTGATAAAAAAAATTTACAAAACAAGTAGAACTGAGCGGAAATATGACAAAAAGGAAGTCTTCTGTTTTAGAGTGGGATATTTAAATTATTATTGGAATTGAAAGCTTTTAAGCTTTGGATTAATTTGATGAATTGTGGATTATTTTGATTACTAGAAATGTTTTTGATAATTTCAATTTTTAAGGTCATTTAATTTGATTCAATAGTGAGTCCTAGCTTTGAAATGTTAGCAAACGAAATTCGCAGACATCGGTAACGAGTATATTTACATAATTTATCAACATTCCAAGCCACGTGAAGTTTAAATAAATGCTGAAATTTTTCAATCACAATTGCCAATTATTCATCTCATTAAAAAGTTCCAGGAAATGCTATAAGAGATTCGAATGTTTCCAATTCAAAGGTCAAATCAATTTTCTCATTCCACATATCCAAAAATACAATCAAAAATCTTGCTTCTACCATTTCTATCCACTTTAATTTCCTCTATATACAATCTCAAAATCATCGTCAATATTTTCCTATTCAAATAAAGGAAATGGAAAAAAAAACTTCTCGTCCCTTACCTTGCAACTAACAGTGAGGTTATTTCCTCATGTTGAATTTTTCCATTCATTTTATTTGCCAATGCTTGTTGAACTTCCAAATCAAGGGCATGATCTCGATCACATTCCGCTTCACTAAACTCTCTTGAATCGGAAAAGCCATTTGGTGGACGAAACTTCATGGCTTCCTCGAGATTAACCTCACTGTCGGTGCTATAACGATTGAAGAATGTAAAAGGGGTGAAAGGAAGAAGAAACGTTGAAATTAATGAAGAACTTTTTTTTTTGATAAATGAAACTCAATCTTTCTTATTTGCTTTATTATATATCGAAAAAAAAATCATCAATCATTGCTTTTATTTGGATTGGAAGTAAGAAAGTTATCTTTAATGTTTAGCAGAAATGCTTATTTTGGTTGATTGCCAATGCGAAAAAGTTTAACTGTTTCTCAAAATTCAAAAAAATTAAGCCGCAATTTTAAAAAAATTCTCACTTCAAAAAGTTTTTCTACAATATTTTGAAATCTAGCTGATTAATAAAGTTTAAAATAGCTTTTCGAGAAAGTAAAAAATGGCAAAATTTAATTGAAACATTTCCCAACCTTCAAAAAGCTTCCGCCGATTCCAATTTCAATTTTTAATAGAAAAACACGCGGGTTTCATTTCCTTTTCAATATATAATCTGTCAATATTAATGAAATGAATCAAATGCCACAAAAAGTTATTAAGAAAGCTTCCAAAAATAAGAAAGCTCGAGTTCCATTTATGTAATTACGTAGAATTAAAGAGAAAAGTTGCTTAATGGAAATTGAAATGAATCAAAAAAGACGAAGAAATCAAAAAGTCAGAAAGAAAAAAATGTCTACCATAAGACTAATTACATCAAATAGACAGAAGAATAAGAAAGAAAAAAGGCATTAGGAACAAAATTTCTCGATTTTTGTGAGTGCTAAATTTTCTGTTCTATCAGGTACCTGAACTACCTGTTGTTACTTTGCAGCATATCCATTGAACGTGAGTTATTTGAATCTCTCGTTGCCCTCGGTCTCTTCTCATTATTTATGTGTCGAGGTGTATTACTTCGTCGTTCTCTTATCGGCGAATTATCATTATTCGATTCTGTACTTGAATCGGGTCGGAATAAATCACGTGAGTGTTTGACGGGTATTCGATAAGTTGGTGCATTACTAAATTCATTGGTTGGACTAAGACTCGTGTCAGATTCAGAGCCACCCTTCGAATGATGACTTTTTGAACGATTACCACCTCCATTGCCGCGTGTTGTCAGTCTTGTCTCTTGACTTTGATTATTATCACGAGCATTCCGAAGTCGAGCACTGCTTGCGACAACCGTCATTGATTTACTAAGTGTAGAATCATCTAATATGACATATAAATTAATATAAATGTTTCTCATATTCTATAATAATCCCTACCATCTGTATTATAGTATCGCTGCTTATGCCATGATGATTTTCCCTTGACATGTCCAAAGCCACTGCTTGGTAAGATTGGATAAGCTGTAGCATTGAGATCTAAATCACCTTCAGGATGTCCAAATGTCTTAAATTGCATAGTATAATCTAATGCTGATGGTGTATGAGCACCTCTCGTTGGTGTCTTTGAATGTCCTTGAACAACCGTCCTTCCTCCCGTTACAGAAAATGTAGCATAAGGTGATATCTCGTACATTTCTGAATCATTATCTTTATCAATAATTTTCACAGGCGATGCTGTATAAACTTGTTGATTACGTCGATTGTCATGTTCATCTTTTACATCATTCGGTATTGTATGAGACTCATAATGATCTGTTGTTGGATGGCAAACCGAACCTTTATAGCGCAGAATGACAAATCTATCGGGAAAAATTAAAGAGATTGAGAATTAATAAAGTTGAGAAGATGCAGATAAAAGTTTTTAAAGGCGATTTCTGTTACCGATTGGTGGTGTTTATTGAATAAAAAATAACGGATTTTGAAAATTCTAAAATTCATAACCACCATTTTGAAATTTTTCTCACTTAGAAAAGTTTTTCTTCAATATTTCTTCAAATCTTTTATGAATCTTTAAGAAAACTAAAGCGTTTGACAGAAAAATATGGCAAAAATCATAAAACAACAACTTTATGTCCAAAAATTCACATTCGAACACCAAATTTCCATCAACACGACAAAAAAACTCATTTACCCCAAAATGAATTGCCCCAAAAAATGATTTAAAGCCTCAAATCATGACATTTGCTATCACAAAAAATTAAAGTCTATAAAAATTGCGGTCAAATGATGGAAAAATGGTTCATGTTTTTATGTCCAATAATAAAAAATCAAGAAGAAGTTTTTCTTCTATTTCTGTCAAAAGACCATAAAAAATATTTTCTCGAGAGGACTCTCATTGAATCATTGATTGAGAGGGCAATAAATTATTATGTTGTTTCCTTCGGTACACATTTTTTTGCGATTCGGCATGCCTCTCTTATATAAAAAAAAAGTTATTGGCAACCGACAAGGAGAAATTTACTGACTGAGGGGCTTTTTTTGGTTTTTTTGCTTGCTTTCCTTTTGTTTAACTTGCAGAGACAATTATGATTTTTTTTCTCTCGTTCTCCTTAAGTAAAGATTTTATGGTTGAATGCAGTAGAAAAATCAATTGATGAGTATTGTCAATTAGGATAATTAAATTGAGTGGTATGATGTGCTCTTGGGGACTGGGAAATGCAAATATGGTGATGAAAATTGCTTTAAAATTGAAGTAAAAACTTTAGGACTTGAACATTTGTGTTGATGAAATTGATTGACATCTTCATTACTTTCAAAAATGATGTACATGTCGAATGGAAAATCTATTTTATAATCATGAACTTATGGAGACCTTAAAAATCACTAATACTTTCATACCAAAACCCACTTCCACCTAATCACGCGTCATTATTACAACAATTTAATTTGTCAATATAAAATTTCCACGTATTGCTCTTGAACATTCACAATTACCCTTCACATCCAATAACTCATTAAAACTAATAATCAATGTTCACATCTCTCTGAAAACCGGTCAATTATTATTTTTTTTTTTTTTATATTCACACCGTTTTCACGTGTGAATCTATTGGTTTTGTTCAGATTGAAAAATCAGTTTTTAGAATTTTGTGAGGATATGGAGCAAGATAGCTTAAAATGTTCAAAGATGAAAAGTTTGTGCCTTGAATTTCACATCTTTTGCAAAAAACAGATTTCAAATTGGTTGCGGCATTGCTGAGAAAATCGCAAAATATGCTTTCTGTAAGCAAGCAAACAAGCAAACAAGCAAACAAGCAAACAAGCAAACAAGCAAACAAGCAAGTTAATCAGCAAGAAATCTCAATAACGAGACATCGTAGAGACTTCTAGTTTTTTACATTTGATCCGTGCTGCTCTATAGAAGAGCTGTATTGTTTTTGGGCAAGGTAGGAACAGCTGTTGCTTCAGAAACTTTCCTTTCTTACGAATTTTTTAAAACAAAAGTTGACTGTGATTTTTATAAAATTCAACTTTGGATAAAAAATTTTTTTAAAAAACTTTTAAAGAATATTTGGCATATTCGTCAAGCTTTATACCTTCAAACTTATGCTGAGCATAGCTCAGCTGACTCGATAGCTTTACATATATCTTCAAACTTATGCTGAGAGTAGCTCAGCTGACTCGATAACTTTATATCTTCAAACTTATGCTGAGCGTAGCTCAGCTTACGCGATTGCTTTATAACTTCAAACTTATGCTGAGCGAAGCTCAGCTGACACTCTAGCTTTATATCTTCAAACTTATGCTGAGCGTAGCTCAGCTTACGCGATAGCTTTATAACTTCAAACTTATGCTGAGCGAAGCTCAGCTGCCTCTCTAGCTTCATATCTTCAAACTTATGCTGAGCGAAGCTCAGCTGACACTCTAGCTTTATATCTTCAAACTTATGCTGAGCGTAGCTCAGCTTACGCGATAGCTTTATAACTTCAAACTTATGTTGAGCGAAGCTCAGCTGCCTCTCTAGCTTCATATCTTCAAACTTATGCTGAGCGAAGCTCAGCTGACACTCTAGCTTTATATCTTCAAACTTATGCTGAGCATAACTCAGCTTACGCGATAGCTTTATAACTTCAAACTTATGCTGAGCGAAGCTTAGTTGACTTATCAAGCTTCATACCTTCATACTTATGATGGGCAAATCTTGGTCTATCCATAAGACTTATGATAGTACGGTGTGAATATAATCCGCATTGAGTTTCTACCCGATACACTAGTTCATAATAAAAAGTAATTACATTCACGTCTGCTGCATAATTAACAGACACTTTTTTCAATTTCTACTTACACCATACAGAATGAAATGGATAAAATTATGCAGACTGCTAAGAGCATCCAATCATTTCCATCGATAGGTACGCTTTCGACATCGTCCACAGGGAAATATTCTGGCATTGGGACCGGTTCTGTAAAGAGAGAAGATAAGAAGATAAAAAAAATTAAATTTTCAATTTTCTATGACGAAGTTGAGGAGAATAAGAAGGAGGATAGAGAAAATTCAATTTAATTTTCAATATTATTATTATATAATGTAGTATATAGGATGATGGACATTTGTAATCTCTCTAGTCAACGTGAATTCAATCTCAATCTTTATTTTTTTCCATTTCCTTTTTCCTCTATGCACTTACCTCCACTCAATGTCGTTGTCGCAAAATTATATTGAATTGATGTCTTTCCGGCCTCATTTTTTGCTGATATTCTCAATTGATACCAACTAGCGTGCTTAAAATCACAAAATACGAGCGAGTCTTTATTGCCGTCTAAACTTGACGTGTCTGAGGATACGACGGTCCATCGAATCTCACCCAGTGATCGATATTCAATCGAGAAATGTGATATAGGACAACCGCCATTATTCCATGATGACAACAACAAATTTAGGCATGTTGTGTTGACTTTGAGGAAGTCTTTCTCCTCCGGTGCTTGCGGTGTCTTTCCTTTCGTCCATACATTTATCTCATCCGATGCCTGTCCATCACCGACTTTATTGTGAGCTGATATCTTCATGATATATTGCGTTCCACATTTAAGGCCACCTAGCGTGTAGCTCGTTTGATCCGGTGTCAATTCCACTCGCGACCACGTCTCACCTGTCACACGATATAGAATAATATAGCCAAGGATGGCTATACCGCCGCTTTCAGGTGCCTCCCATTTCAACTTTATACTATCGCTTGTTGCAAACTGTACATTCAGTTGTGGTGGTGCTGGTGGTTTGAGTGCAACAACCGTATAATAAATTTCATCTTCACCGAAAAGATTTTTTGCTGAACATGTGTAATTTCCGCTCAAACTCGGTTCCACACTGTGAATTTTTAGATGACCCTCTGCCGTTACTTCGTAAAATGGACTGAAGGTGACGGGACGATCACGAGTAAGCCATCGTGCACGCGGTGTGGGATTGCCAACAGCTAGACATTCTAACATCAATGTTGTTCCAACCGGAACTTTAATGGTCTGCGAAAACGAGGCAATACGTGCAGGTGCTCTCGTGTTTGTCATTTGGGTGATGAGGGCTGTTGGTTCACCTAATGTATGTGGAAGCATGATGATGAGAGAAATGTTAATGTGATTTTAATTACTTGCTTTTGAAGCAAAGGCTTCGTTTGAAGAGGAAAAAATTAAATTTTGTGGAAATAAGGATCAATGAACTTATTTTCATTGCTTCTTAGAAGGAAAATTTTCCTTTTTCAAAAAAAAAATCCATTTTTTTCATCTTCAAAGCGAATCCTCTTCGATATTCAATCAATAATGTTTACCTTCACCGACAGATGTTGAGGCGGTGACCCAAAAATCGTATTTTTTATTTTCCAATAAATTTCTTGCCTCAAAAGTACATGGAAATCCATTTTCATCAACGCGCACCATGTTACCTTTAAAAATTGATTTAAAAAATTTTATGTGTTATATAAAAATTGAAAAGAGAAAGTTTTCATTTATAATGATGAGGTTAAGTGACATGATGGGCTGATTAAATATTATGTAACGATATTTTTTATTACTGGCTGCTTGCTTTTGGCTTTTAAAACTTAATTTCAAAACAGAAAAATTATGAAATCTCTTGACGCCATTTTGAAAATTCGCTCACTTCAAAAAGTAATTTTTAAATATTTTCAAAACTTTAGCAAATTAACAAAGGTTTTAAAACAATAATGCTAGAAAAAAGTGGCAGAAGCTGAACAAAACTCACGTGCACCTTAATTCTTAAAGAACTCAATGATTTTCGTCGAAAAAAATGCCCAGCAGTCAACTCAATTTAAAAGTATCAACAAAAAAGCGTCATATCATTATAGAAAATCACGCTAGCAATCATAAAAAAAGTTCTCTCATAATATTCCACTTACTTCTCGTCTGCCCTTTTCGATCAGACTCCTTGCTGTAGACCGTATAATGTATAATCATTCCATTTCTTTGTATTGGTGGAAGCCACGATATTAAAATCGATTCAGCTGTTAATGCAGACGCTTTAATATTAGCAGGTGCCTCAGGGACATCTTCATCTGTTGTGCAATAAATCGGTATGGAGTGAAGACCATCGCCAGTACTTGTAAATGCTAATACACGTATCGAATAATTTGTTGCCTTCATGAGTCCATGCAAATAGGTTTCCATGTTTGATGTACGTTTTACCTCACTTGCTGTGAACTCTACTGTGAAAAAATAAGAGAATCGAGAAGGAAGAAGCAATGTGTAAGAAGAAGAGAATTTAGTAATGTTACTTATAAAAAGTGTCAGTAATAAATCATTTTAAGAAAGATCAAATTGGAATGGGAAGAGAAAACAAAAGGAAAAAGTATTTTCTGAGAGATATCCATTGGGAAAAGTCTGGGATGAATGTATTTTTAAAGCTTATGCTCCATTTGAGTGTTTAAAAATTAAAGGATATTAAAGAACTCGAAATTTGGGAATTAGCTTCAAATGACGCAAAAATTTGCTTCAAATGATGCAGACTTTTGCATCAAAGGATGCAGACTTTTGCATAAAATGATGCAGACTTTTGCATAAAATGATGCAGACTTTTGCATAAAATAATGCAGACTTTTGCATCATATGATGCGGTTTTCGAAAAAAAATTTGCAAAATACTCATCAAATTACAATAGCACCGTATGAAACTCATTGAAATAAAAAGAACTTACGTTGCTTGACCAACGGTCGATATAGAACTTTATATCCCTGAATTAGTCCTCCGTGAAATTGTATCGGAGGCTCCTGCCATGAAATTTTTATGCTCTGTGATGAGAGTGATGTGCAGTTTACGTTTTGCGGTGCTGATTCAGGAACGCCTTCCAATGTTGTTCCGATTACAGATGCTGACCACGGTCCAGGAGATACACTGTTGAACGCACGTATGCGAATCGAATATTTTGTAAATTTTCTCAAGCTAGTGATTATCGATTTTGTGGTCGCCCATCCATGCACTGTGATTGTCTTACTAACAGTTCTATTTGAGTTGTTGTAATTTATGTTGCTGTGCTTCTCTTCGATAAAGTTAACATGATAGCCGAGAAGTTCTCCATTCCATGACAGTTTTTGTGGCAATTGCCATGTTATAATCAATTCACCAACATTTCCAGTTTGGACTTGAATGTTATGAGGTGCTTCTGTTGGCGCTTCCTCTTGTGTCTTAATAATAATAGAATCCGTATATGGCGATCTAGCAATTTCATTTACAACAAGCATTCTCATCAAGTATGTCGTGGATGGATGTAATCCACCAATTGTTGCTTGCTCACGTTGAACACCATCATAACTTTATACATGAGTGCAAATGAAATGAAATATTATTTCCATGCAATGACTTGCAAATAAATAATAATAGAATAAACTTTAACCATACCTCGTTGCTACGCCGACAGAAGGAAGAGTTAAATTGGAAATGTGTGGACCTTTCCATTCTTCGTCTGTTGCTGGCATGACTGTTTGCTCATGTAATGATTTCAACGGTTTATATTGTACTAAATATGAGAGAACGGGGGAATTGCCATCATAAGGTCGTTTCCATGAGAGCTTAACTGTTCGACTTTTCACCTCTAGCACTTCGAGATTCGATGGCGCATCAGGACTTTCTGTTTATGATAATTGTGTAATTGGTTTTTAAAGAAGAAAAGTAAATGTCAATTAGTTGGAATTTTCTTCTGTGCTAATTGGAATTAGTGCATTTGACTCTATTCATCGAAGGTAAGAAGATTAAATTTCACCTGTATTGGTCGTTACTATGAAAACTTTTGTAAATTGTATCAATTTGAAGATTATATTATTGTAGGTAATTAGATGTGATTCAATGATGATAATGCTTTAAAATAGCTTATCACTTTTTTTAAATTGAATTGGGAATATTATGATTGATTTATTAATTTATAAGCTCGATTTATTTCATGGGAATCTCCTATTTGCTAATTAATTAGATATAATCCATCATTTAAAAGCTTGAACTAATGGCAACAGTCAAATTTAGATTTCTTTAAAGCTTTTAAAATTTGACTTTTTTAACGGTTTTTTTAAAACTTAAATCGACATTTTATATATTTTTGAAAAAATTTCTCACTTCAAAAAGTATTTTGTGAATAATTTTGAATTAAAGGGAAAGATGAGGACAAGACTTAAATAAAATTGAAGATAAAAGTGGCAACAGTTGAATAGAAAATGTTTAAGATGAATTTGCCTTTTGAAAACGCAAAACATTTCATTTTTCAAATTCAAACTTTTGTAAATCAAAAAAATAAGCAAAATTTACTCACCCTGAACAGCCAGAAATATCAAATGCTCACTCCTTCCATACTGATTTTCAGCAACACATCTATATTTCCCAGAATCATGTCTATCAGATCTACTTATCGATAATTGTGAACGCACACCCTCATCCGTTTTCATCTCAGCAATATTTATACGATAATTATTCAAATCAATCCGATTACTATTGTGCGTCCATGTAATGTGTAATGGCTCATCACCCATCGCATGACAACTAAGCACAACGGGATCATTACGACGAGACGAAATATTCTTTGAAGCATAATCAAATCTTGCCGGTTCATTGACATTAATGTAAATGATTTTTTTCAATCCATTCCCAATTTCATTATTCGCTTGACACATATAGAAACCTTCATCTTCGGTCGTTGCAAAATTAACCGTAAGTGTTGTCCCACTTCTCATTGTAATTGCTTGAAACTCTTTTGATGATTTACTTTTCCCTTTAAACCATGTAATTGTTGGCTTGGGATATCCATTAGCCTCACAATTTATGGCAATTGGATTGCCAAGCATCACATTTGTATCCTGCGGCTCAAATGTCCATTGAGGGGGTACTAAACATTTTTTTTATGTCGTGCGTATTTTGATTACATTGCGTATGTTTTGTTTGGGTTTGTATTTTTGTGGGTTTTGTTTGAGAGGATTAAAAGAGAATACAAAAAGGTGAGTGTAATTTATTATCATTGAATTGTCATCGAGTTGTACGGAAAGCAAAGCTGTCCTGAGGGGAAATTTTATCAGATTTGGGGTTTTAATTAAGAGCTTTCATGAAGGTTTTGTATGAAAATTTTCATGGGATTTTAACTGATTGAAATGAATTTAAATGGAAGGTTTGAGAGTTTGTTGACACATTTTGTAGTTAAGAGTGATGTTTGGATTCGTTCTTGTTATAATAAGCTATAAATAGTATTGTCTAGTCATTGTATACTATAAATACTATGCTTTAGTCATAGTATACTTTAAATTGTAGCGTTTAGTCATGGTATATTAAAAAGAGTATGGTTCAGTCATAGTTTGCAACCCAGTGGTGGACAACCTTTGTTGTGCCATGGCACACCTTGAGAGTAAACCTTGACAGAAACCGCTCACAGCACAAGGTTCGTGAGATATTATGAATTGTTGCACATTGATGTGCCGCGGCACATAGGTTGATCATCACTGGTCTAGTCAAAGAATATCACAAAAATTGGAAACAGCCAGCTATAAATCCTTAAAAAAAAACTTTTTAAAAAAACTACGTTTTTCGCGTAGACTAAAAAGTAGAAAATAACTTTTATTCTTGGTTGTAAAGAATTTGGTTTTAAATTTTCAGATTATATTTAATAAATTTTTATATCCTAGTCAATATTGTTCACAAAGTTTCGAATAAGTGCACTTTGATCTTATCGTTTAACTCAACAACTTAAAAACGTGGGCGCATTAATTTAAGTTTATCATAAAGTATTGATTTCACATAAACTTATTTCTTCTCTTATAATGCGCCCACGTTTTTAAGTTGTTGAGTTATACGATAAGATCAAAGTGCACTTATTCGAAACTTTGTGAACAATATTGACTAGGATATAAAAATTTATTAAATATAATCTGAAAATTTAAAACCAAATTCTTTACAACCAAGAATAAAAGTTATTTTCTACTTTTTAGTCTACGCGAAAAACGTAGTTTTTTTAAAAAGTTTTTTTTATAAAGTATTTTATTTTCTACTTTTTAGTCTTATTCTAATGAAATAGAGAAATAAAGATTATAGGGGGTTTATAGGTTACAGGTGTGTTGAACTTCACTTCGTTGCACTTCGTTACGTTCAACTGTTTATAGATTACAGTAGGTTTATAGGTTACAGGTGTGTTGAACTTCACTTCGTTGCACTTCGTTACGTTCAACTGTTTATAGATTACAGTAGGTTTATAGGTTACAGGTGTGTTGAACTTCACTTCGTTGCACTTCGTTACGTTCAACTGTTTAAAGATTACAGTGGGTTTATAGGTTACAGGTGTGTTGAACTCCACTTCGTTGCACTTCGTTACGTTCAACTGTTTATAGATTACAGTAGGTTCATAGGTTACTGGTGTGTTGAACTTCACTTCGTTTCACTCCGTTACGTTCAACTGTTTATAAATTACCAGTTTTCAATGGGAAATTAGTAACGACCAGAGGTCGAAGTCGGCGAAGCGAAGCAAGTTTAGCAACTCTTCACTTTGCCAAAATTCAGGTCAGCTTTAGCGGACATGTAGCCAACACGATTTTTTTCCTCTTTGCTTTAGTCGTATTTAGTCGACTATTTTATTTAAAACTCGCTTTAGCCGACTCTAGCCGAATCATTTTAAAATTAGCTCGCTTTAGTCGACTTTAGCCAACTTCATTTTTTTTAACTAGCTTAGCGAACCAAAAGCCAAATCTTTTTTTTTTAAATGGCTTTAGCCCACCTTAGCCAAGTTGAATTTTTTTGTTTTCACTTTAGCCCACTCTAGTCATATTGATTTTTTGATGATCGCTTTAGCCAGTTTAAAGTAAATTTGATTTTAAAGGAACCCGAATTGAGTGAAAAATTATTCAAAAGAACATTTGAAGACGTATCTCAAAAAAGTTTAATTATAGTTTGTTTGAAATAACTAATAACAACAATAACAAGTTTTTGAACTGAGATTCATGTTTGATTTTTTTCAATGACCTGAAAATTTTTGATAAATCTCAACAATGTACCCTGTATAAAATTCAAAACAAATGAAATAGACCGTCTCGTATTGAGAATTAAAGCAAGAGCATTGAACGGATTCGTTCTTCTGTTGTTTTTTGACTTAAGGGTAAGTTAAAGGGGTAGTTAACTGTAATTTTATAACGGTAATTTTTCAAAGATAAGCAAGTTTAGTTGTAAATTTTGGAAAACGTTTTTACAAATAATGTTTGATCTTTTTATAATTGTAATCTTCGGACATAAAAATGGCAGAGATCATACAAACTGTACAGCCTTTGTTTGGTGCAAATAATAAAAAAAGTCCAGTTTGGACTTATATATGATCCTCAACAACAGGAAATTTTAGATTTTTGGGCTTAACATAAATTAGAATTCCCTCGATTGTATCAATTAGCTTTGATTATGTTGGCAATTGCACCTATCACGTTCTGAACGCAATTTTTCAATTTCGAATGCATTATTAAGCAAAAAAAGAGCTTCAATGTGTCCAGAACGTGCTCATCGTGTATTGTTCTTGCATGACAATGTTGATATTTTAACCTGTGCGTTAAACGAGGAATAAGAAAATAATTATTAAAGAAAATAATTATAATCTTTTTGAATACTACCTGAATTAAATTCAATATTATTAGTTTATCTGAATAAATAAAGTAGAATTAAGTTGAATATTTTATCTTTCATAATCATTTATAGCTTAACATTTATGAATCAAATTTTCTTTAAACTGGCTAAAGCGATCATCAAAAAATCAATATGACTAGAGTGGGCTAAAGTGAAAACAAAAAAATTCAACTTGGCTAAGGTGGGCTAAAGCCATTTAAAAAAAAAAGATTTGGCTTTTGGTTCGCTAAGCTAGTTAAAAAAAATGAAGTTGGCTAAAGTCGACTAAAGCGAGCTAATTTTAAAATGATTCGGCTAGAGTCGGCTAAAGCGAGTTTTAAATAAAATAGTCGACTAAATACGACTAAAGCAAAGAGGAAAAAAATCGTGTTGGCTACATGTCCGCTAAAGCTGACCTGAATTTTAGTGAAGCGAAGTAGCTTCGCTTCGCCGACTTCGACCTCTGGTAACGACTTTCAAAATTTTTCATTCGTTTTATAAAATTTAATTTTTTTAAAGCATTCATTAGTAAAGTACATTAAAAATCACTCGTAAAGATTTTGTGTTTATCCGAACCATTACTACTACATAACGTGTGGATTCTTAACATAAAGATGCAAATCAAATCTATATGTAACGTATTTATAACGGATTTTCAAATTTAAATTCAATGAATATCATTCATATGTTATGCAAAAATACGTCAAGCCGTTAATAAAAAGAAAAGTCAATTTAATTAAGTTGGTGAAGTGTTATAAATAATGCAATACATTTAAAACAGCATAAATTTATGCTTAATCAATGTGTGCTAAATGCACATCGCATATTAATAGTTATTTTGCATAAATTCGTAACGGACTTGAGCTTAACGGTTTTTTTGAAAATTCAAATTTTCACTTACGAATATTCATGAAAAAATTACATGTCAATTTTTTTGTCTTACCAGAATATCTTTAGCTGCTCAAATTTATGGTATAATTAATAATTAGTAATATTAATTAAACTATAATGAATCATATAAATGACTTTAGAGCATCACAAGTATAATATTTTAAACAAATTAAAATTTCATATCATTGACATTGGATTTTTCTCCCAAATAAAAAAGTTTTATTAAAATTGTACTATAATTAAGCATTTTTGTGGTTCCAATGTGTTAAAATATTGTATTGTCACCGGGAATACGTGTGAATAAAAAAAATGAGCTCGATTGGAGCAGTAGAAGTGGTCGAAAAATTGATTGCAAGATTTGACCAAGACAAACAGAAAGACAGAAAGACAAGAAAGCAAGTTAAGAAAAACGTGGTAAAAACCTTTCCAACATTCCATATCTCCCAAAGACATCACTCCGATTACATCACTCAAATTTACCTTTAACAAACAGCTCTGCAGTAAAGTTTACTTTCGCAGCTGAATTGGAAGCATAACATGTATACTTCCCACTGTGACGTGCCGTAATATCTTTAAAAACAAGAAGCGAAAAGAATTCTTCCTTCTTTTCGAGCACCTGAAGACTTAATAATAAAGGCGAGCCATCCTTATGCCATGTGAAATAGACTGGCATGTCACCAGATGACACAGCACAAGTAACTTGCGCTCGTCCACCTTCTTGTATATTTTTCGGAAATGTAAATGCTTCAATGACGGGTGGACTGTTGACGTTAATTTGAATATCACGACGTGATTCTTCACCACTACGCGACCTTACGATGCACGTATAGCTTCCTGCATCATGTTGTGGATCGATTTGGTTAATTTTAAGATAACCTCCTTGTTGGATGCTAGACACAACATAACGTGAATCTATTGGGAAATTAACAAGTCAAGCATGAAATTATTTTTTTTTCTGAGTTGAAAGATAAGATGCACAAAAATGAATCCACGTGCGATTAATTCATGCAGATGAAAAGAAAATTAAATTTTTTTTTTGTTTCTGCTCACTTACTTGATGTTATTTCAATTCCTGCACGTTCCCAGCGAATATTTTCAATTGGATATCCCGCAAATGGACAATAAACGACCAAATCCTCTCCAGCAACTGCCTTAATTGGGCTTATAGCTCGAACATATGGCGGACCAAAGATATTAAGACGTGCTGCATGTGAAATAGCACCAATGCTATTTTTTGCCATACAATTGTACATTCCACCATCATCAGCACGAACGTGTGAAATGTTAAGATGACTTATAACATCACCCGATACATCTACATATTGTCCCATAGCATAGCGATGAAGTGATGTAACATCAAGTATTGGCTGAGAATCGAGCAGCCATGTAAACTGTGAATTATAGATAAGAGAAGTTTTGGGGTAGATTCAATAAATCAAATTTCATGAGTTCCTCTTCCTTTTTTGTACTGTGCGATAAGAATTTTTTTACCTGAGGCGGTGGAGTACCGCGTGCTGAACATTTGAGTGAAATATGAGGCCCCGGTCGAACATTCTGCTCGATGAATCTGTAAATCATCTCTGGCATTGTATCTGCGTAAATACGTGAATTTTTGATAATAAATCTCAATTATAAATTCAAGGAGCGTTGATAAAATTTTTTCATGCATGCTTACCTCCCAATTTTAGTTCGCCTGCCGCTTGTATGCTGCTTCGAGGAGTTGTAACCAAACATTGATAAATTCCCTTGTCATCTCTTCCAACGTCGTTAATATGTAATGAGTTGGGAGATGTGAGCGTGAATCTGGATGGGAATGAATTGAGTGGAAGTAAAGTTGTCAAAATACAGCTTAAAACTGACTAAAACACAGCAAAAAAAATCCTCATTCATACTCGACTAATATAATTAGATTAAAAATTAATTTCCTAATTAATTAGAAGCCGTGAAAGAAATTTTTAAAATTGAATGAAGCTCCATTAAAATGTTTGATAAATTTGGTTCTTCTTCGTGCTTCTTTTTAACGCTGAATAAATAAAAGTTTGATGAAAAATTCATTAAGAGTTATTAAATTTTAATGAGTTCTCATAGTAATGATAAATTGTTGTGGATTTTGTCAAGGGTTCCAATTTTTTATTTCATGATTAATGTTGTTTCAATTTTTTTTCCATAAATAAATTAAGCGACGGTCTAAAAAACTGATTGAATTTTCTTACAAATAATATTTTCACAAGTGTTTCAATTCCCAAAATATCTCAGCATTTCCCCTCAACTCAATTAAGTCATGAAAAAATATTTTTGTAACTTGACGCCTTCTCATTGTCATTCCTTTCCCATCTTCATTGTCCTAAAGCAATCATTAAGAAATTTACTTAATTGTGTCTTAATGAAAAGTGGGACATTTTTCAGCAAATGTCTTTAGGGGCTGTTCACTTATTACGTAACGCGAAAAAATGACTTCTTAGACCCCCCCCCCCCCCCTCGTAACAAAATTTGTATGAAAAAAAAATTTCCTTGTTTGAATCGTAACAAAATCTTAGACCCCCCTCCCCCTAAAAGCGTTACGTAATAAGTGAATGGCCCCTTAGGGGTTGTTTGACAATGACGTGTTTCATTAATTGTATCAGTTCTAGATGATGTGCAAGGGGATGGAAGGTTCTAAATATTAACAATTATAAACCAAAAGCTCTTCAAAATGACGACAAAAAAATTCTACAATAATAATTCGACTATAATTCTCATAAATAAAAGGAAACAGACATGAAAATCAACGTTTCTCATAAAGTCTAATCCTATTTAATTACTTTTCCACTTAAATCATCTTTTTCTCATTTTCTCACTTTCACTTTACTCGTTTGTGTCATAATTGAAGCTGCTTTTTTGTGAGAATGAGGGAATCTTGAGGATTATTTTGTCTGTTTCTGCTTGAGGAAATGAAATTGTTGTGGTTAAAAATTAATAAAGGTCTTCTAATCGCATTATTATTTTTTTTGATGATATCATAAGTATGTGGTCATTGTCAATTGAGGTTGAGTTAGACAGGTTACTATAGCTGAGAAATGGTATCAGTTGCCTTAGTAGTAGAGTGTTGACTTTTCGAGACAAAGGTCTTAGGTTCAATTCAAAACCAAGTCAATTTTTAGAAGCTTTTTAACATTTCATGGGTGTAGTATTTAGATCTTTGGCACAGAATATGCCTCCTTTGCTTGGTATACAAGGATATACTAGCATCTGGATGACTTCCTTACGACATCTTGCGCAGACGAATTTTGACTACGTTTATTGCAAGATACATCAGGTCTTAGGACGTACTCGTATCTTTGCAATGTACAGAGCTTGCAAGTGGCTCGGATTCAACCTAAACTGTAGGTCTAAAGGGTGTGGTACAATAGATTTACAATCTCAATGTCTTGAGCTCAAAAGGCTAAGCCCTTCAAGCTTTATTATTGTTAATAGACAGGTTACTCAGGGTAGGTTCATAAATTTTAATAAGGTTGTTAAATAAATTGAAGAGACAAATCAAGTGACAATGTGGCTGGTTCAGCACAGAGGTCTAGTAAAGTGGCTACAAAGCTTAATCATTAATCCCGAAAATCCCAAAAAAAAATCTAATAAAACCCCAGCATTTTCTGTCTGATTTCAGATTCCAAGTTCGATGACGGAAAATATTGGAATTTTTGGGATTAATCCTTGTGTATATGCCTTGCCACCAAATAATATGAGAACCAAAAGTGCCTTGATAGCTCAGTTTGGAAAGTACAGGTTACAAAAGTTGGTGTTGAATTTGGACTCTCGGATTCAAATCCCACCACCAGCCTAGTGATTTTTCAGAAATTTACATACTTCGTCTTCTTAAGCGCAGCAGTTTAAGACGTAAAACTAAGAATTAGGCGATGTGAGATGAAGGAACTGGTCAAAAATTATGTAGACAGAATGAGAAAGATACGAGAGCCGTAAATTTACCAACCAGAGCTTTTACTGAAACGGACTTGAAGTTATGTGACCCACAGAAAATTGCAACAAGAGCCCACAATAACACTAGTTCTAAGATCTAAAAACAGTTTTTAATTGGGTGCTGGACACACAACTGCTTAGTGAAGATTATGCGCTACACACTGAGTTAGCGAACATAATATAGATTTAAGATGAATATATTGAATTGAATTGAATTAATAATTTTAAAATTCCATAAAAATGCGCTTAATTCACTAGACTCATCAAAATCCCAAACTTCTATCATCATCGGTCTTATTTAGCTTCTTTGTATTTGGTATTAATTCTATATGAAATTATTTCAACCATAAAATAATTTCGGTAAGATAAATTACTCTTTCAGTCTTTCTGCAGAAGTAGTAATAATAATGATAATTATTATGATGAGAAAACTAGAAGACAAGCTTTTACTCAATAGCTATAATATAAAGGAACACACATAAATTTATGATGAAAATGAAAAAGAAATTATCGAGGAGTGGTTAGTAATTATTAAAATCTTTCGACGTTAATTTCTGTCTTCTTTATAACCTCTGCCAAAGTTTAATCCTTCTTTGTTTGCACATATATCCTCCTCCTTTAATGCCTTAACTTCTTTTTTATTCGGTCTACTAAACCCATCATTATTATTACTATTATCATCGTCATCCCCTCAATGATGAATATTAAAAACAAATTTGCACTTTATGAACATGTTAATCCCCTCCAACCCATCGTTTTTACTCTTTTGTCTTTATCTATAGCCTTTGTCTATGTTCCACTTACTATATTATTTTTTATTACATGAATTACCAGCAATATAGAAAAAACGACGGTGATTATAATGAAAAGCAAACATAAAGGAAGTTTACTGAAGAGGGTGGCAGGCAGAAGTGGAGTCAGATAAGTCTTTAGGAGGAGATTCAACCTTTCAAATGAAGTTCAACATTAATAAATGGGGGCTCTTAGTTATTTCCATTATAAATCATAACTTTTAAAGATTTCAGAGCCCTTTTGTATCCCCCTGACTACGCTACTGAATTGAAGGGACATAGAGACAGCCGGATGTGATGTGATGATGAAAAAAAAATATAAAGATGTGAATGTGAAAAAGGAAGGAGAGAAAAAACTGTTCATTAACGAGTTTTTCATATAGAACTATTTATCTTAAACCTTTATAGCAGATAAATTTCTACTTTATGATTATGGATGGGGAGATTCTGCGGATATAAAGGTTCTGGATTGGAATGTGATTTTGGTGTGATTTATTTTGGATTCTTTTAGTAATTGGTTGCAGTTTTTAAGGATACTAAGGTTGGTTCTTGTTTTAATAAAATCATGTAGCTCTGTCAAGATTTTTAGTTTAATTGGAAGTTTAATCGCAACACCTAGATTCTTACTTGTTGGAATCAGAAGCTTACACGGGGCGTAGCAAGAGGGTTTTTCGCATGCCCGAGTTTAACTCTTTTTGTGAGACTTGTGGCTAACGTCAAGACCCAGCCCTCTTTTGCTCTTTTGCTACACCACTGAGTTAAGCCATCAATTACTAAAGCATAAACAAGTTTTGGCTCTCCTACTTAAAGATATAAGAACCACTCCACACAAAACCAAGCAGATTGTGCTATAGACTCCGCAACAGACTAGATTATAAAAACACAAACATAATCTCTTCTCACAACCCAAAAACTTTCATTCAAACAAAATAAAACCATCGAAATATGTTTTTCAATATGAAATCATTTGACTTACTTGCTTCCAACTCCTTGCACGTCATCACCACTATTAACACCCATAATAGATTTTCCATTATGAAACCATTCAACTTGTGTATCGGTTGATGATGAAATTGAACAATTAAAAATACCAGATGAGCCCGAATTAATTGTCTGATGTTGTGGACTCATATGGACGGTGAGATAGGAATGAACTTTAAGGATAATTTCCAATTTTAGTTCGCCGTATGGATTCGATGCTTTGCAAATCTGTAAATAAATGAGATTTGAAAATTAAGTCTTTTTGTTTTGGGTTTCATATATTTAACTTACCCAACGTCCAGTATCTCTCTCATCTACATTTCTGATGAGCAGTAAGGTTTGTGACGGTATGACACGCTGTGACGATGGAACAGAATAATACGAACCGGAATCGGATAATCGATACCACGTATATATTGGCAGTGGATTCCCCTGAATATTGCATGGTAAATGAATTTTGCTACCTCTATCTACACTTATTTCCATTATTGATTTTTGACTCGATTGTGGAGCCATGTTTTGTGGTGCTTCTGCATATATAAAAATAAAAAGAATTTCCATACGAGCACAGCAGCATTTTATATTCACACATATACACACATATACAAATTCAGATGAGGAAGAGATGAAGAATAAAAAAAGAGAAAAAAATTTCTTTGAATAAAAAATGATGCTGTAATGTCACATGCAAGAGTACATTTCAAAACTCGAACCCTTTTGCCCCCATTTCTTTTAATACTCTACTTTCTGTGTGTGTATGTACGATGAATATGCAAATCCAGTTATTTAGGATAGTAACTTACTTGTCGACTTTTCGAAAGTGATTTATGTGTGAATTTATGGGATATGAAATATTAATCAACAACACTTGCTCCTTCATGGGAATGTGATGATTCTTTTTTTTTTCTTGTTTTTTGAGGTAGAAAGCATGTTAATGGAAGGCTATTATTTGTTTAGAATTTTTTGATTGCAATGAAGTGATTTAAAAAAGAATTGAAAAAGCAAATTGAGGGTAGGTGTTGGATATACAGAATTATAAGGCTTTGTTGTTGAAATGGACTGTCTTGTAATTCAGGCGCGTAGTCAGGGGATGGATTCGAGGGACAAATCCCCCTTCGTCTTGAGAAATTTCTTCATTTTGCTAGAGAAAAATCCCCCCCCCCTCTAAAAGTTTTCTATCCAAAAAAATTTGTCCCCCCTCTTCAAATTCCTGGCAACGCTTGTGTAATTATCTTTAGACACGTGTAGATATGGCTTTGAAACCCTATTAGGAGGAGCAGGCGCAAAGCCAGGAATTTAAAGAGGGGAGACAAAAAATGTTGTTATAAGGAAAATTTAAGGAGGGGGGGATTTTTAGGATTTTTTCATGAAAACCCTAGCAAAATGAAAAAAATTCTGTTAAGATAAGCTTGAATATGCAGTTCATGATGAATCTAATTGTATATGTATGGGACCGTTCACTTATTACGTAACGCGAAAAACGAACTTTTTAGCCCCCCGCCTCTTTGTAACAGAGTTTTAGAACCACCCTCTCCCTAAAACCGTTACGTTATAAGTAAACGGCCCCTATGAAAACTATCTAAAGTAATACAAGATATTCTGTGACACAATTATGAGAGATCTTTGACTGACTACTCACATAATCATCTATGTTGAAGACACGGGTTCAATTCCTATCAAATTCGACTTGAGGAGAGTCTCTACAATCGTATCAAATGATTTCTTGACAAATCAATTTGTTAAACGTTTTAAAAAAATCTTTTGGTACATAATCGTAATTTACCCTTTAGGATTTCTTAATTCTTGAAATTTTCCAGCAGTTTGAACTTTCACAAAAGCACTTGATCTCTTTATTTCATGACAAAAGTCTTTGGCCTTCCTAGAAAAACACAGTATTCTTTCAAATCAAGTCTTATAAAGTCTCTCAAAGCAAAATATGTTCATCTACAACATCTGGATCTTGCATGGTAACTCTTTTAACCATTTTCTTCCTCTCAGCTTCATTTTTTTTATCTTGTTGATTTCTTTTTGTACTCATTTCTTTTCATTATTGAAATGAGTGTCTTCACCGTATTCTATGTCTTTTCATTGCCTTCATTCGACTTGGTGTAAGCATCGTACTTTTTTTTTATCAAATGAAATAGAAAGGAAAAGAAATATTCTTAGAGACACTTGATGTTTTTTCATCCTCGTTTCCACTTCCTTTATTCCTTCTTTTTTTTTCAATGAGATGATCACATTTGAAATTATGACATTTTTTTCTTGTTATTTCTGTATCTTGAATTTCTTTTTTTATGTGACAAAGTTTTCAATTTTTTTTCCATCCTTATACTTTGCGACAGTGCTTATTGTGTGGCTGCTTTTTTATTCCCTTGATGAAATTTTTCAGAATGAAGATTAAATTTTGCGGAAAATAGGTCGATTTTATAGAAGGTAATGAAAATATATTGAGGTGGAAGATTTTTTGAGGCTTCAAACGTCTCTTTTGGGCTTTTTTAAAAGCTTTCATCTATTTTTTCGATAGAATTTTTGGACTATTATGGGTCCTCGATTTGAGTTGATTTGATTTGAATAAGTTCGATTTTAGTAACGAAAATTAATGAAAAGAAAATTTAAAAAAATTTCGTAACTGACATTTTTCATAAAAAAAGTAAATAATTCGATTTGAGTAGATTCGATTTGAATGGGATTTTACTCGAACTAAACACCTACTCAAATCAAGGACCCCCAGTATTTAATAAAAATTGGGTTTTTAAATTAAATTTTAAAGGTTATATGGTCGATTTTGATAGGGGGACCTATTATCATGCATTAGTCATTGATTTTGATTAAACTTTGCATGCGAAGCTGTAGGCAAACGATATCCATTCAAAAATTATTTTCTTTACATTAGAGGATCTCTTATATCTTCAATAAACGTCATTAAAGAATTAACCTATTACAGGGATGTAGCTATGGAGTTTCATAGTTAAATATCGACAGCACTTTAATAAGTAAGAGATTTGTATGTGGTGGGAATCGAACCTGCCTTCTTAAAAATGAATGGGCTGCTAATTTGTGGTCCGTATCAAGCCATTCTGCCACAGAGGTTATATTTTTTAAACTGACAGAATCCCATTCACATAGATCGATAACTTCACTCTCCAGACCTTTAAGTCCAACTTCTGAATGAGCAATAACCACAACAAAGTTAAATCTCTATCAGAAAATTAACAAAAACATTCAATCATCCTTAAAATTTCACTAAAATTCCTCCCAAGGGATTCTCATACATTTTCCATTACAATTCCCTCTTTTATCTTTAAATAAAAAAAGCTTTTCTTGTCACTTAATGAGTTTTTCAATCTTATTTTTAAAATCGCAAAGAAAAAACACACAGCGATGGTAAATAGCAAAATGACATTGAGTGGGTTTATTGCAGCCAAAATGGAGGATTATTAAGGCAACAAGATAATTTTGAATTGAAAATTGAGAGAGAGAGATTTTCTTCGACGACGACAGTTATCCCATCTTTAAATGTCATTCATTTTTACAACAATGATGCTTATTTTGGAGGAGTCATTTATGCGAATGAGAGTCTAGACTTTTTAAGAGAAGGCTTTTAGCGACATAAATGTGCTAAAATGCCTTTTTTGATGATTTGGGTGAAATAAGCTCAGTTCGAGATTTAGAAGGTTGACTAGTTTGAATTAGGGTATTAAAATGCTGTTTTAAAGATTAAACGTCCATTTTACACAACTTAAGGTATTTGAAATAAAAGAAATGTCTGAGGAATCGAACCTGCATCCTCAAAATGAGTGATATGAAAATAGTCAGTCTACTCTTGATGTTCTAACTCAGTCAGGTGATCACCTGTTACTTTTCAGCTAATTGTCGTACAAATGTAATTTGTTTGATCAAGAGCTGCATGCTTATGGTTGCCAGGGGCAAATTAGGATGATTTGAAGATGTCAGGACCACTAATTAGAGACGGAACTTTGGATAGTGAAAAAATTCAGACCTCAAAATAGAAAATTCCCCCTATAAGGTGAAATGACCGACTCTTGCAGCTTGACTGAACATTTTTAAATCATTACTTAAAAATATTGTAAAGCTAGCTTTGGAGATCTTAGTTTGAAGATTTATTCTTTAAGACTTTCATCTCTTAAGATGGACTTAATAGGCTTTATGCTTATCCTTGTAAATATATCCTCTCTCATATCTAACATAAAACCACCAAGCTCACAACTGAGCAACTTAAATTTACCACCGGAAACCTTCAAGATAGTAAGAAAACCCAACATTTCATAAGCCATTCAACCGTAAATGATGCGCGACATTAATCAATCTATTATGCTATCATAACTTATTTCCTTTTCCTTTAGCTCACCGCTCCATAAACATCATCATTAACTTTGAGAGCAAGCAAGCAAGCAAGCAAAAAAAAGTAACTCTTTACGGCAGTGTTGTATACACAGCGGAGCAAAAAGAAAGCGTGTATAAATACATAAACATAGTGGTCTTGTGATAACGAATACTTTTCATCAGTCCCAAGGCATAATGTGAAGACATAAAAAACGCAATTTAGATTTTTATCAATATTTATTTTCCTTTCCTTCCCTTCCTTTTCTCGTCAATTTATTTTCTCTTTCATTGCGACGTCGTTGCTACACACACAGAACTTCCTTTTAAGTCTATTATGTACCCCAAGAGTGTTTGGGATGTAAAAGGGGGAAAACAACTTGTGAGAAGAAGAGAAAGTTTTAAAAATTTTACAAATCTAGAGGAAACTTAATGGGGAAAAATTGTAGAATTTTGACAAATTTTTCTCAACAAGTTGTGTTCCCCCTGAGAAGAATAATAGAAAAAAGTTAAAAGTTTTTCAAAACTTTTCCTCATGCAGCTGTTATCCCCCTGAGAGATGTATTTATAGACATACCTTTTATCGATAACATAACAACATCGCTTAGTTTACGCTCACCAGTCAGTGTATTTGTTGTGAGGCATGTGAACTTTTTTGATGCATCTTCTGGTCGGACAACGCGAATGCACAGGTCAACATTTCCACTAGTGACGATGTATCGACCACCTGTGTATAATTTTTTTTAGGATGATAGAAAATTACATAAAAATTGAATTAATTATAATTTGTACTAATTGGCATAATGTTACTACATATACTGTCCTATATTGTTCCCTGAAATGTTATTATAATCATACAAACATTTATACATACAAATAATATGCAGCATGAGGAGCATAAGCCATGTTGAGCATCACATAAATTTTTAATTAAATCGATTGCACAGAGAATGAACGAGATCGAGAGAGTGAGGAACTTTCCGGGGCATCACATTTATGCATTATGCATATTAATACTATGAATCCAAATGAATGCGATGGGAAAATGTGAAACTGGACTGGGATGTTGAATATATTTTTAAAATAGATAGTACTGCAAATATTGAATGAATGAATAGTAAAAATCAAGTCAGAGAATCGATCGATAAAAAAAGAATCAAAATAATTCAGAATGATGAAGGCAGAAAATGTGTTTTGAGGCAGGAAATGGACCACACAATGAAATAAATCAATGTGAAAGAAAAACATCAAAACAATTGTGGATTTATGAAATGCGTGCATGTAGCTTTATTTTTTGATGAATTAATCCAAAAATAAACTCCGATTGAATTGCGAAATATACACTATAATCGTAACCTTGGCAATAATCACCTTAATACCGTAACGGACGTATTTATAATCTCATTTCAGAAAGGATTTTAAATTAAAGGGATTAAATTTACGTAAGTTAATGAATCACTATGAGCTGTGTCTGTTACTATATTAAAATTCTGTGGAAAATGATTGAAGCTATTACTAGGTTTTTGCCCTTGCATCTACGATCTTCTAATAATGCTATATTACACTAATGTAGCTAATATAAATCTACAAAAATCTATCAGAGTTACTAGAGATCTAATAGCTTTACTAGAGCTCAAAGAGTCTTAAAAGTGCTCTAATAGTTAATCTGGAGCTCTAATAGATATTCTAGGGCTTAAATGATTTTACTGGAGCTTTAAAAAGGACTATTTGAACTCTAATAAGGTTGATAAATATTAAGTAAAGCTAATCTATACCAAAGAGCACTACTCCAGCTCTAATAGCTTTACTAGAGCTTTATTACGGTTATTTTAGCTACAATAAAGCTGAAATTAGGCTAGTGAAGCTGTTTTAATGCTACTTTGAGCTTTACTATAGCTCTGATAGTATTACTAAGGTTCTTCAAAGGTTTGAACGACTCAAGTAAGGATACTGAAGGAGCGTAGCCAAGAATTTGAAGAAGGGTAGACAAAAAAATTATTTTAAAAATTCGGGAAGAGGGGGGGGGGGGGGGGGGGGGGATTTTTTAAAAACCCAAGAAAAATGAAGATATTTCTATTAACGTATGGAAGTAGTCCCCCAAATGGCCAACCTAGTTACACGCTTAGCTTTATAGCTTCCTGACGTACACCACTTGAAACCTTTCCTTAAAGAGGCGTTTGCTAATGAAAATAAAAATTGCTAGAATTGCAGAATTTCCAAACAACTCCTTTATTCCATAAATTTTTCGTTAAAAGCTCTACCGAACTCTATAGACATAAATTGGGTCAATAAACATCGAGATGCGCTTCGACTGAGTCTTTTGTTCATCCACACACACCCTTTCTCATCCCATTTACTGTCAATATTTTTGGAAGTCATGGACATCATGGGAGCATAACGTATGATACAACGGATCCGTAAGTACAATAGCGCAAAAATATTTTTCCACTTTCTATCATTTCTTTTCTAGCTTTCACAATGAATAAAAAAACAGCATCATTTTTTCTGACATTTTATTTCATCGAGAACGAAGTGAAACAGTAGAGTTTTCGGTCATAGACCCATAGACAGAGACATAGAGTTGCAGAGAGAAAAAAAAAGTATAAAAAGCAGTGCTTTTTTGACATGAAAAGGCATTGACAACCATTGCTAGCAACAAAAATGTTTATAAACATAATGGAAATGAATGGGATATGAAAATGTTATCACGAAATAAATTTCAATGAGAATACATATTCAATGGTAGTGTTATGCCGAAATGGTGGGGGGTAGTAGAGGCACAAAAAAATATATTCTTCAAAAAACTAGTAAAATTAAAGTGAAAGTTACATCGACTAAAGCGCATTTTCTTTGGATTGAATTGCTGTTGACGCTCGGAAGGGGAAAACAACTCGATTGGAAAAGTTTTATATAGCTTCAATAAATTGGAAATTTTTTAAAGTTTTACTATAGCTTCAAAAGATTCAGTAGAATCCTATTAAGAATAGTGAAGCTATATTAAGGTTATTGAAGCTCTAATAAGGCTAGTGAAGCTCTAATAAGGCTAGTAAAGCTCTAATAAGGCTAGTGATGCTCTAGTAAGGTTAGTAAAGCTCTAATAAAGCTAGTGAAGCTCTAATAAGGCTATTGAAGCTCTAATAAGGTTAGTAAAGCTCTAATAAAGCTAGTGAAGCTCTAATAAGGCTATTGAAGCTCTAATAAGGTTAGTAAAGCTCTAATAAAGCTTGTGAAGCTCTAATAAGGCTATTGAAGCTCTAATAAGGCTAGTGAAGCTCTAAAAAGTTCCTGGTGAAGCTTTAATAAGGCTAGTGAAGCTCTAGTAAGTTTAGTAAAGCTCTAATAAAGCTAGTGAAGCTCTAATAAGGCTATTGAAGCTCTAATAAGGTTAGTAAAGCTCTAATAAAGCTTGTGAAGCTCTAATAAGGCTATTGAAGCTCTAATAAGGTTAGTAAAGCTCTAATAAAGCTAGTGAAGCTCTAATAAGGCTATTGAAGCTCTAATAAGGTTAGTAAAGCTCTAATAAAGCTAGTGAAGCTCTAATAAGGCTATTGAAGCTTTAATAAGGCTAGTGAAGCTCTAAAAAGGTCCTGGTGAAGCTCTAATAAGGCTAGTAAAGCTCTAAAGAGACTTTTGAAGCTCTAAAAATCTGGTAGAGCTGTAGTAAAGTTATTAGATTTAAAAATATTCCCATTATGCTGTTTTCCCCTTATCAACCCTATCCTCTACACTTCCAAGTCAATCAAGGCTAGAATAGTGACACGAAATGACAAACAGACAGTTCAACAGACAAAACGCAGTCACCAGCATTCTTTCACTGTTCTATAACATTCCAAAAAAGAAAGCGAAAAGCTCTGCAGAAAAAAAGAGGCATCATAAAAATATCGAATGTATGGCAGTTGAATAATGCTAAAATGAGATGTTACACACAACATTGTAAAAGGCAAAGCGAGACGCAGGAGGGGTTAAAATAGCTGAATGAAAGGAAATAGAGATTATCCATCACATAATAAATCATAATAGTGAATGAATCATTTTCACAGTATGTGATGACTACGAGAGAAAGAGAGGCTCTTCAGTAGATAGCAGTAATATTGTTTTTTTCTTCTCCATCGATTTTATTGGATATATGCCTTTGAATGATAATTGAATTGTTGATGCATGCCGAGGGGTTTTTCGAATGAATTTTCTGGCTGGCATTTTGAAATTATTTTGAAAATTCTGAGATTTTTGACTGATTGATGATTGTGAAATGATTTTAATGGTCTGGTCGTGTTGCTGTAGAATATTTTGATGCATTAATTAGTGATTGTTTGAAATGTTGGAGATACAGTCTGTTTTGTTTGGTCTCTTTTTTCATGTAAACTACCTTTAGAGAATTCATTGAATTTTGTTTGTGATGGATGCATTATTTGCTAGGATTATGTAATTCTATGCCAGTGGTCAGGCACGTGGTCAGGAGGGTATTCCCCCCCCCCCCCTTAAACGTTTTGAACCGCAGCGAGAGCACGGTCTAAAACGCTTAAGAGGGGGACAAGACCCTCCTGGCTACGCGCCTGCCAGTGATGGACAACCTTTTTTGTGTCACGGCATATTTAAGTGCTAAAACACACGGTTCGTGGGCTTTGTCGAAATTTTCTGCCGGTGTGTCTCGGCACAAAGGTTAGCCACCACTGTTCAAGACTGTTTTGAGACTGCCTAGCTTTGGTATTTAAATGTTCCCGATAATTCACCAATCTTTAATAAATCCTGTATCTCACTTTTACAATCCTTTTCTTTATAATCTTTCAAAACCAAGAGTAATTAAGAACTTCTTGAACTACTAAACTCTTCACCAATCACTTGAGCTTCTTTCAATAATTTCAACGTTCAAAACTTCATTTATAATGATCCGATAAATCAAATCGTCTTGAATAATCAATGCTCATATCCTCAACTTGTTAAAACTTTTAAGCTTCTTATAAAGATTTTTAAGTAAGCCATTGCTAGTCGATTCCCACTTCATGATAATAATAATCATAATAAATTTATGAAAAGAAAAAAAAATCATAACGAGAAGACGGAAGTCGAGTCGTAGAGGGAAAAAGAATCCAGTAGAGCATGAACTGAATCATCTTCCCAACACACTAATGCTAATATATGTCTAGTTCAGGCATTATGGTAAGTGAATATATAAAAAAATATGCGGAGATGAAAGTTGGAGGATGAGGATAAATAAAATAAAATGAAAGTGAAGGAAAAAGATTGTTTAACGACGTATGAAAACATAATCAGACATGACAGATAGGCAAATATATTGAAACTACTAACATGAGAGAGTGAGATGGAGATGGATGAAAAATAAGAAAATGTAGAAGCTTTTTACGGCTAAGAAGCTACATGCAGCATCATTTTTCAACTCGTATTCTTATTTTCGTTGCCAGCCGCATTTCTAGTTGAGTTTTACAGCAGGAAAAAAAATATTTTTGTGCTCTGGCTTATCTGATTTGCGGTTGAGTATATTTTGTAGATTGAATATTTTGATTAGAAATTTTAGAATCAAGGAAGTGGAAAATTTGAATTTATTTTATTGATGCTAAGTTTTATGGATGGTTGAAGCTATTACATACATACGCAATATGTAGATTATGATGAATTGATAGGAATGGTCCTGATGTAATGTGTGTAGAGTCGTACTCGAGTGGGTTTGTCGAATAAAAATCCAGCGCACAGTCGGCATGACTCTGGCAT